TGTCCTTTTCCCCTTTCCTTTGGAAGTTTTGCTCCCTAATTATTTCATTCTGGAGCCAGATGATTTCATCGACCATCTGTATAAGGGTACTTTCCAAATCTACTTAACTGCCCCTGACCTAGTATTCTCCAATCAGTCACACATTTTATCATGTTCAGCTATCCTTCCAAAGGAATCACTGTCATGGTGAACTGCCATGTAGAGAGCTGTGAGTAAGACTGGAGTTGTGTAACTTTCCGCTGAGTTCTTCTGTGTTAAATATAAACATCTCTTGCCTGACTTCTGATGTCCTCCCCTTGCTGTCCCCATTGTCCCCTCTTAACCTAATTTTCCCAGCAACTATGTGTATACTCTGTGACTCTTTCCTCAGTCTAGTCTTTGAAAATAAATGTGTTCTGATCCCTTGCCAAGGTTCTTCAGTCTCATCCTCTTCTTCGCTAAGATGTTGATTCATCTTTCTTTCTTCCACAGTAGGTATCTCCTCATCTCCTGTAAATCTGATGCTGTTTCACTACACTTCCCTTGACCTCAAGGCTCTCCTTAAGTAACAGCCTTCCAATAGTTAAAACCTTTATATGGGTCTACATTGAGATGTAGATTAGAAAAAAAAAAAAAGACAAAAACCTGTCACCTGGCTCTTCTAAGCTCTCTGGTCCAGACTATACTTCCAGCCTTATCTCTTACACCACCACATGAAATCCATGCTTCATCTGAAACTGGGCTGATATAAGTTGCCAAATATACTTCACACAGCCTTTCCTGAGGACCTCCAAGCAGACATGACAGTTCCTTCCTTGGGCCTTTCTAAGTGCCTTGGATCTCTCTAATACAACTTACTATGTTGATTCTCATGGCATTGTTATTTTCTAAATTTCATGGAATCTCATTCTCCTTGAACTTCTTTGAGCACTTGGTTCTGAGGCTTGCATTTAATAATTGCTCCGTAATGTTGTTGAAATAAATAGATTTAGGTAGCCTGGATTCTTCACTGTCCTGTGAGCATGGAATAATTATCCCTGCTTCGATTTCTCCTCTTTTTTTGCTTCTTACTCTAAAGTGGCTTTCCTTTTTACCACAATTTACCAAAATTATTCCCCTTCTTTATTACACAACTCAAGTTTTATCTTCTTAAAGACATTTATGACAATATAATCACCACTGGCTAATTCCTTTTCTCATCTACTACCTATATCTCAGATGGTTGGCCCAGCATAATTTAGCACTTAATTGTTCACCATCTGAAGGCTTTTGTACCATTTCATATGGGTTCAACTTATCTATTCTAGACAACACATTCCTAACAAGGAGTGATCATGTGTTATATTTCCCTGTAGTGTTTGGCAGAGTGCTGAGTAGGAGCTTCTAGTAGAAAATGTGTTGCTCCACCCATATTCTCTCTTCAAAGCCAAAGCATCAGCTCCTGGAATATCTGTTACTGAGGACTCACAGCCATGCCCCTCATTAAAAATTTCCTTCAATCACCAAGACTGCCTTTCAGAAGGTTCTCCCACTCCGCACCCCTTCCAGGTTCTGGCCCAGAGTCAATGACCGTCTGAGTCAAGGTTACACAGACCCTTCACTCTTACTGTGAATTATAACAACTCTAAAGGGCCATCTCAGTTCTAGAGCTTCTTGTAGGATTTCCCAAAGCCTCGATGTCAATTGCACGCGGGTCAGCTTCTCCTTCTGTCCAAACCTGACTTTCTGTATCTCCCGAGATGACTCCCCAGTAAATCTTCACATAAGTTGCCATAGAGTCTGTTTCCAGGGAACCCAATGTAAGACAGAGCTTAAATCTTTTTATTATTTCTCCCACCTATTTAATTATGAAATAACTCCTTTTCAAAATTGAAGCAAGTGTATCATTGCTTTTCCATCATCACTAAACTGGTGTGAAATATAGTAATCCCCATTTATAAACTTTATGGACTACATAGGGTAGCCTTTCTTCTATTAATGAATATCATGTTAGATATGGTTAAAAGATGCCAAAGTCATTTTGTGTATTTTAGTGAAATTTTAAAGGGAAATAGTTTTTGAACAAGATTTAAAGAGGTGAGAAGAAAAAGGAGGAAAAATATGATCAGATAAGAATTTGTTTAAAAAAATATTGGCTATAGATGATTACCTTTTTTTCTTTATGACGTTAACTCAACAAGTGATTCTTCAAAAATTTCTGAAAACCTTAGGTGTGGTAAATTGGGAAACATAAAGATTTAGGGAGAGCTTTCATGTATGCTCCATCATATAAAATATTTTCACCAATGTTGTATCAAGCTCACTTAGTGAGTTATGATTCAATGGAGAGTTTTGCCTGAAAAGAAAATATTTTTCACAGTTTATGATTCACTTTTAAAAATAAGTACATTCCTCTAAGATAGAACTCAGACAAGTAAAATTTTATTATAAACTAGATAAAAGCACAATCACTTTGATGTTATTTCTAACTTTGGAGCCATTACTGTTATTTTTCTTTATGTTTTTCCTAATTATTAACAAAATTTTAAAAATTCTTATGGATAAAATGGTATTGTGTTAAATGAAATAAGCAGCATACAAAATTACACGTGTATTTTGTCATAATTATGTCAGCATATACAACGAAGACTTTAAGGAAGTATCCACAGATGTGAGACATGGATAATTAATTTTTCTTCCTACTTTTCTCCATTTTCCAAAAATGCTGTTATGACTGCAAAATTTCACCCTCAAAACCTATAAAATAAATTTTATAAATGAAATATTTTTTGCTTAAATGCCAGCTTGAAGATAAAGAGAGTTGTATTCAATCTTCCATCAACAAAGAGGTAAAAAAGTGATACTATAACTGTGAAATAGAAGATTTAATTATATCATTATTTGCCATCTATAGGATATAGGAATATTGATATAACCTCACATGACCTTACTTTTTAAAATACGCAATTAGTGGCCTTGTAATACATCAACCTTAAGCATCCTTATCCTCTTAATATCCTATAATTTTAAAATTTAAACAGCAAACTTCTTTTTTTTTTTTTTTTGCGGTACGCAGGCCTCTCACTGTTGTGGCTTCTCCCGTTGCGGAGCACAGGCTACGGATGCGCAGGCTCAGCAGCCACAGCTCATAGGCCCAGCCATTCCGCGGCATGTGAGATCTTCCCAGACCGGGGCACGAACCCGTGTCCCCTGCATCGGCAGGAGGACTCTCAACCACTGCACCACCAGGGAAGCCCTAAACAGCAAACATTTTTTTTTCACACCTAGGTCACTACACTTTCCTGGTTTCCCTTTATTCCTACTCCAACTCCTTAGCTGCTTCATCCTCACTTCTCCAACCTGTAAGTATTCAAATATCCCAGAATTCATTTCTTATACAGTTTCTCCTTTCTTTCTATACTCAATTATTTAACGATTGTATCTACCTCCATGTATATAAAAGCCGTATATATGCTGAAACTCCTAAATTTATTTTTCTAACCTGGACCTCTCTTCTGACCTCCAGATTTATACCTAACTTCCAACTCAGCATGTTTACTTAGATGATTGATAGGCATTCTACATTTAACTTGCCCCATCTTGTTAAATCTTTTAGCTCCTCAAATCTTTTACCTTGATAGTCTCCTCCATCTCAGCTATTGGCAACTTTTCTCCCAGTTACTCAGGCCAAAACACTTGGATTCATGCAAACAACCTAAACCAACTTGGGCTGATTTAAGAAATGCAATTTATAGATTTTATTTGAAGTTCAGGGAAATTCAGAGCAAGTTATAGAACCCAGGTTCATAAAATGAACAGCTATGAAGGGAATGCTGACGTTCAGAGCCATCTTCAAAATCACACCCCAGAAGCAGCCTGGTGAAACCAATGAACTGGGCACTGGATGACATTTCTGGCACTACTGGCCAAGTTTCTTTGGAAACCTGGCTATTACTGCCCTCACTACAGCTATGACCACCACCATTCTCCTTACTTCTGTGCATCATTGTTGAAGTAGGCAGAATAATAGCTCCCAAATGTGTCCACATCCTAAGCCCTGGATCCTGGGAATATGTTATGTTACATGGCAAGGCAAGGAGGAATTAAGGTTGCAGATGGAATTAAGGTTGCTAATCAACTAACCTAAAAATGGGGAAATTATCCTGAATTTTCTAGTTGGGGGCTGGGCTGATGTAGTTAAAGGAGTCCTTATAAATGAAAGATGAGGCAGGAGAGCCAATGTCAGAGTGATACAATGTGAGAAAGACTTGACCAAATATTGCTGGCTTTGAATATGTCTAAAATGAAACTGCAAGGGATTTAATTTCTAATGCACAACACAAATAGACTCAGATATATAGATAGATGATAGATAGATAGATAATATTTCTGAAAATATGCACAAGAAACTGCTAACATTTGTTGCCTCTAGCTTGGAGGATAAGTAAACTAAGAGTCTTGACATTTGACTGATGGAATTTTTATTTTTGAAGGTATTATTATTATTAATCATATAGAGTGAATACATTTCAAACTATAAAGTCAGGTATGCAAGACGATGCTATTTTCATTTGCAGTAACTAAAAGATTAATAACTTGTTGGTGGAGAAGGGGCTGACCCAAGAGGGAAATGAGGCAGTGTTTAGAGGTGGTAGAAAAAGCCTAAGCTTGCAATTGTTCTTAATATTAATGTCTGTTTTGCCAGACCCTGCTTACTTCCTTCTAAATTACCAGCAATTTCCTCCCACTTTGGAGACTCCCTAATTTACTATGTTACTATTTCCAGGGATTGTGTCATATAGAAGCCCTCAGTTTTCAATATGCCCCAAGGAGTTCCACTAAATATGATCTAAAAATCTGCAAGATTCCCCATTGCGCATTATCTCTGTTCCCAGCATGAGTTATATTATCTCATATTCCTGAAAGTCATTGCATTATTAAGCCAGAGATCTAGGATTCAATATGCTTTTTTTCAAGAAAAATCACTAGATTGTAAACTTGCATTTTTTAAATCTATGAAAAGTTGACAAAAACCAGGAATGTTTATTATGATATTTTATTATGAGTGTCTGTAAGAAAAAAAAGATCAACAACCACATACAAGCTTACAAAGTTTAATTTCAACACATTCTCTGTTATTGTGACAAAAGCAGCCCCAAAATTTATTTTTTGTTGTTGTTATTGACTTTTACAGGTTGCAGAGAAAGAGTTCCCGGCAGTGACACACCAGGAAATCTTTTTGACCGGAGACACGTACAGATGGTGTGCATCTGTGTTTTGAACGTAAAGCAACAATTGACCTAGAGTTTTAAAAGTGAAAGTACATTAGCACCAGAACATGTGTCTTTAAAGCCTTGCCAAATATTGGTAATCTTGACCAGCAATGACAAGAAAAAGGAAAAGCACCTTTAAAAGAAGTTGATATTCAAGATTAAAATAATTATGGCTTCAAAAATATTTCTTTAAATTCTTGTACTACACTCTACTCTTTTTCTTTTAACCAATATTTTAGGAACTTAATCAGTGAAATTTATAAGTTTTGGTATTTTATACAATTATTTTCATCTTCTGGGGCTTATAGAATTCATCTGTGTTTCTGACCAGGTTGAGGTAGTTGAAACAGGAAGGTCTTTTCTAATTTCATGTTTGACTATTTCAGAAGAAAGGTTATCTTTTGATGGTAAGCACTGTCATTGCTCTGCAAATGGGCTAGGATTCAAAGAATGTAACACAGTGTTATTGGAAGAGTGTTGAAGTTTATTTATTATAGCACCACTGAGACATTTTGAAATTGGAATTGGTAAAAAAATAGAACAAAAAGCATTTGAACTGTATTTGGTGTAACAGCAAAAAAAAAATAAAATAAAATTTAAAAATGTATTCTTTTTTGGTCAAATTACACTTTTTCCAAAAATTTTGGAAATAAATAACTGGAACTTGGTCACTTGTACTGGTTGACAAGATTAGAACAAGAGGAACACATATGGAGTGTGAAACTTTTTGCTGGGATTTCAGATAGAGTTTGGTTTATAAAAAGCAAACAGGGCCAACGTCCACACCAAATTCTTGATCAGGACCACCAATATCGTAGGGTGCAATATCTACAATAGGTAGTCTGACGGCCTTGCGTGTTCGATATTCGAAGACTGTTTTGCCCCATTCCCCAGTGTGTTTCTGTAAAAAAGAGCAAAAAAAAAAAAAAAAAAGTAAGTGATCATGATATTACAATTACTTAGACAGTTTCTCTGTTTGACAAAGTTAAAAAAAAAAATTTTGTTGAAGGGAGTTGCCAACTCGCCATGTATATTATCTTCCATACATCTGAGACCTGCTCCAGTTCAAAGTGATAATTCTCCCAGTCGATAAACCACATTGTTAACCAAAAGCTTTATAGGGCTTCAGGGTAAACCCAACAAGGGGCTTGCCACAGGCCAGTCCATTCTCAGAAACCTTGGTTCTGGTCATTGTTACTAGGTATAGAGCTGGTTTACTAAGAAGTGGATAGGTCTCTCACATTGTAATCTGTTAATATTAGAAGTGAATTCTCCTTCTGTTCATGAATGATAATAACAAATGATTGATTTAAAGTTAACCTTTAAAATTAAAAAGAGATTTTAGATTGAGTCCATATTGATGGCAATTATGTAGAGTGGATAGTAACTGTCTAAATTATCTGGCAAAGTTTATATCATGGATTTAAATTTCAATTGCTTTCACATCAGCTGGTTTTCACCTGGAGGTTGAGAAGATATACTCATTTTTTGTGTGATTTAACCTTCCCTGGAATGGATCAGTAGATTCAATATAACTCACACCAAATGCCATCTTTTGTTCACCCTCATTATTTTTATTCCTTCTTTTCAAAGTAGCATGATTAAATGAGAAATGCTAAGTTCATTATGATGCATGCTTATAAAAATGCTGTTACTTACAGTGCAACCATCCTCCAGAACTGAGTAGGTGAATTTGCCATTTCCTTCAGCCTTGAATTCACCGTCATTTGAGCCCATCAGCCTCAAGGCTTTCTTCACATTCCCACTGGCATGATCCATGTATGCAATGCTATTCTTGCAGTGATATGTGATGTTCTGGGAGGCCTGGCTGGAGAGAAGTCGGAGGAATGCCAGCTGGACATCGAGGACATCTTCAGGAAGTTCAGGATTGCCATAGCTAAACTGTAATAGGGAACAAATAAGGCTGGTCAAACATTATAGCTGCAATTATACATAAGGGATTCATGCAGTGTAGTATGGTCATTGTAATGTAAGTTGTTCATATATTTTATGTATGACTATGTCTTTATTGCATGTATAACATACAATGCTAGAGTAAAGAAGGTCTTAAGAATTGAAGGAAAGTTGGTAACTTATGAAGAATAATTTAATCTAGTTTAGCTTTTGAGAGACAAGTTATAAAAGTAGTTACCTGAGTATATAAAATTTTTCACTTTTCTATTTATTAACTAAATTTGTTTTGTGATGAGCAAATGGGAGGAACAAAAAAGTCAGCTAAGTAGAGATGGATTAAAGTTAAAGAAAAATGGTATATCTTTTCTTACCTGAAAACCACCATCCATGGATTCTCCAAACCAAACATGTTTCTTCTCAGCAGCAGAATTTGTCCACCAGTTCTTACGTGGAACAGTCAAAGGACTGGCATTTATGCACGTTTCCCCAGTTTCCATGTTACAGTATACTTTAATAGCATCCATCTTGCAACCTTGGTTAGGATCAACCCAATATTCTCCTGAATAGTCACAAAAAGGACAATGGAATTGGTTATAATATCCAGTAATGGGATTTGGACCAAAATGATTTTGTAAGGCATTCATAATGTTGACTGCTAATGTATTTGTACTTTATGTATTTGTACTTTTATAGTGTAGCAGAATAGAGGAACTTTTAGATTATTTTTTAATTTGAAAAAATTGATAATTAGATTTATTATAAAAATTGTTTCAATAAATGTTGCAATAATTAAATTACAAATTATGTCTGCATCAAATTACAAACACAGTGATATACATTGTTTATCAATCAAACAACTTTGTGATGATATGAAAAGACATGCCAAACTATAATTTGTATTAAAACTTCTATAAAACTGTCTTTAGATTTTCCTACATTTGGCATATTTTGAATTTACATTACAGTTTAAGTACACCTACAAAATTCATGTTTTCTTACTCAGTATATCAAGGAGTTTCAATTCAACTAACATTCTTTAAGTACTATCTCTGCTGTATAATATTTTCTATTCCCAGTAAAATTTTCCTTTCCCCTAAATTCTAACATAAGCAGTTTTCTTTGTTATCCTGTTGCCATGAGTGTGAAAGATTCCCCAGCGTACCACTCTTGAGTTCAGGATGGCAGAATTTCAGGTCTCTGCAGTTCCGAGCAGGGTTTTTACGGGAACCATCAGGACTAAGGAGGCTTTCTATTTGTCCATTGACTGATTTGAGTGACATCATAATCTCGTCGGTGTTGATTTTGAAATCCATTGGTTCATCTCCATAATATGGGGCAAACCCCCCAGATTTTTCACCTCCAATGCCACTGATGACAGCAGGCCCACCAGTACAGCATGGACCAGGGATACCAGGGGGCCCAGGAGGGCCTGGTTGTCCTGGGTGGCCTGGGGAGCCCTAGGAAGGGTAAGAACATACATCACTGAGGGGCACTTGTTTGGTATCCACTGAAAAAATATGTTGCTAGCCCCCCAAAATGCATTACAAACAATTAATATATTGTGTCATAGTAATTGTTTCAGTAAAAGTTTATTTGGGTTGTTTTGTGATCAAATATTAACCAATTTATGATAACTATAATTCATTGTTATGACAGTGTGTTCCAGTGTGTAAGAAGAATTGGTGTTGGAACACACATTTTACTCTCACATGTTTCCTTCTGTATAAATGATGTAAGCAATTCTAATGCTGACATGACAGAGGGGTTATGATCAGGAAACTTAGATTCTGATCCCAACTTTGGAATCTAACTTTGTGTTTTGGGGCTAACCACTTAACTTATTTGTGTTTTAATTGTGTAACTTGTGGGGATAATAGCTTTTCTTCTTTTTACTCCAAAAGTGTGGGATAGGAATGTTTTAGGAATGATGGTATCAGTAGAAAAACAGGAGTCATGGAAGCCGTTTGAGAAGTGGAATGTACTTTACACTTGTAAATCATTAAGATTATCATAATTGTGAGATGTCTAATATGAGATCAGTGCTGGCAGAGTTCATCTTATTAATTGGGCTATGTCTTTATTCTGATATAAGTGTTACCTCATAAACTGTAAGAAAGATTTTTTCTCCCTGTCATTATAGTGTGATGAGAAAGTCTTCATGTGGGAGAGAATGTCTTAAAGTTATTGTTCAGGTCCTAAATTAGGTTTGGTAATTGCATCGTGTTTAACTCACTACCTCAGTTTTAAAATATTGCAAAGTGTTTCTGAAAATGTGAAAATTAAAACAAATTAAATACACATATTTATAAGTGATGTCTTACCTCAGATCCTCTTTCGCCTCTGTTACCTCGAGGCCCTGGTGGTCCAATGGGACCAGGGTGTCCACTCGTTCCATCTTTGCCAGGGGGCCCACTGGGTCCAACAGGTCCCTAAGAAATTATCATGATATCACAATGCTAGAATATTTTCTTGCAGTGCTAACATTTTAAAATATGGACCTCCCAATATCTGTGGTACGTACTCTGGGGCCTGCAGGTCCTGGACTACCTACTGCACCTTGGTGACCAGAGGGACCCTGAAAGGAAAGGAAGGTGAATATGAGTGAAGACTTTAAAAAGGCTTAGGAAACTGTATGTTCAAGGTCAGATCAAGAAACATGGGGATCATGATAAAACATGATTTCCTTTTCCTTTAATATCCCCATTGTCTCATGCCAACTACTATTTCAAATAAGCCCTCAAATCCGTTTCTAATCTCTTTTAGCATAGACTTTCACAGATGAACAATTTTCTACCATTGGTCTCTAAGATTTGCCTATCTCATTAGTTAAAACGCATTGAGGGGATTTTCTAACAAAATGGATGCACTTACTGGGGAACCTGGGGCACCTGGGTTACCAGGGAATCCACGATGTCCTTTGATGCCATTAGCACCACGTTCACCCGTTTCACCTTTGTCACCACGTGGGCCTTGGGGACCCTTCACAAACACATTTCAAGTTAAGGTCATATACACATACACATTGGAAAAACAAAATAGGATTTATAACAATTAAGTCCACTTTATAACATTCTACAAGCTAGAAATCCCATCAACAAACACTGCATACTTGGGACAATAAAGATTGTTCTTGTGGCTGTTTTGATCTTGGACTGAGAATTGTATGGAGCCCCAATAATTGATGTGTAATCTCATAGCCCCAAGGAACTTTTAGATCCTAAATTGCTTTCTATATCATCAAACGAAAGTTTAAATTTGGTTCCATAGTTATGTATCTAGTCATCCCTTTTTGCTGAGCATGCCAGAAAATGGAATATTTCCTACACTGTAGAATTAGTTAAAAAAAAAAAAAGACTTACAGGAGGACCTCTTGAGCCAACAGGACCTGGAGCACCAGAAGGACCAGCGGGGCCCTAAAATAAAAATAAACAAATGAACACGCACAGGGAAGTGTTTATTTATTGATACAGTTTTGTTTTACTTAAACGTTAATAATTTCATTGTGAGGGAATAATGAAATGTTTGCTATTATTGAAAATTAGTATTATTTTCTCCTTAAAAATCCTTTACCTGTTTATAGCTTTACCAGGGGGTCTGAATAGGAAAGCTGAGGAAACCCTGTTAATTCAAGCTTATATTGACCAAGTGGATATACACTTGGTGTGATTAATGCCATTTTGAATTTTAATAATGAATTCTTCATTGACTACTGCCAGAAATTCTCATATATCTTTATTACCACAGTTGCCTAAGGACTGACTAGCATGCAAAACTGTGAAACAATTGAGAGTAGATCTTTTGGTTGGCAGATATGACATTCTATTTTCTACCTACTGAGCTCCTTATTGAGGAAGATAGATGAGTAGGGAAAGATGGAGTTCATGAGAACTCACAGTTTCTCCTCTGTCACCACTCTTTCCAGCTGCACCAACAGGGCCAGGGGGGCCTGGATGACCAGGAGCACCAGGGGGGCCAGGAGAGCCATTTTCACCACGGTCACCCTGTGGACAAGTTCACAGTTCCAAAATCAATCTGATCAGCAGCTATTGTTCTAATTACACAAACCTATTGTACGTGTGCCTGTTATACCTTGCTACCAGGAGCTCCATCTCGGCCTGGCAGACCATCTGATCCAGGGTTTCCCTGATTAAAGAAAAAACAAAGAGGAAGAAATGAAATCAAATTCTTTGGAACCATTTAAATACCATCTAAGCCCTGTATTCTCAATGGGAAAAATATCATCCTAAAGAGGATAAAAATTGGTTCTTGGGAGTGAAAAATCTTAGATATGACAATGGGTGTGGCCCTGCAAGGAGTGATAATACCTAAACAGATATGCAGTATATCTATGGTACTCAAGTTTCACAGGGTGAGAGAGCAATAAGCGACTAGGAAAAAAAGTCTAAAAAGGAGCCTTAGGGGGAGAAATAATAAATAAAGTCTTGACACACCGTAATTTAAGCTGATAACGGAAATCTACAATTTAAGGAAAGACTAATCACAGATAACATGCAGTATATTTTTACCCAGAAGGAATGTTGTAAATTGGGGCTCTCTCCATCCACAACTTTTTTCTTATTTAGCTAAATATCATATTCTTTTCCATTAATGATCATTCATTGGGTAAATACTAAAGAACATGAACATTTAAGGCTATTCTAAATTGTAATAGAAAGAATATCTATTACTAGAGAAAGAAGGAGAACTTTGAAATGCACAACCCTCAGAGAGAGGTTCTCCTTTATGACAAAGAATGTACATCTTACCACTTTCTTGATGATTTTCTTTTATCATAGAAACTCAATGGCCCAATTTGACCCTTGCTTAAATAAATTATCAAATACTACCTGGCTTATTGTGTATTTTCGAAGAACTAGTACTTACATCTCTTCCAGGTTCACCAGCTGCACCAGCCAGACCAGGAAGACCCTGGGCTCCAGGAGGACCACGTTCTCCATTGAGACCACTAAGTCCTGGCTTCCCACTTTCACCCTGTGTACAAAAGAATAAAATAAATTTGTGTTTTAACCTAAGAAATCAATTAATATGATATTATCAGCTGTCTTTATTTCCCAATTTCTATCGAATTTGTTCCTAAAACTATCCCTGCCATAGGGGAAAAACTTTGGGGAAGCAAGCTTCTTGTCTTTTCTAACTTGTCCAATGAACCTGGATAGCAAAAGCCTGAGTAATTACATTGATTATCATATTAGAATACATCCTAATATGAGGTACATAAATAGACATGGCTATTGTAAGAAAAATATGATGATGAGCCATCATGAAACTATAGGTTTACGGTACCCATTAGAATTAGGTTATATTGAACATTTGGCTCTATTTAAAGAATATATACATTTATTGGGAATGATCATATAAATTGACTAGACTTAAATGTTATATTGTAATTTCACTACAATCGTATATGACATTTAGTTTAAAGAGGTGCTCAAAGTGAAAAAAGGTACGCCTTAATAAAATACGATTTTATTACCCTATTTGCTAAATAAATATTTAAGATGTTGAGCACTAGGATGTTATAGTAATATCAGTGAAAGAAAGTCAGGAGTATAAAATGACTTGAGTTGATGGATAATTGGTATCAGTTAAAGGCTTTCATAGGTCTATAACCTGACATTATTTCCCGCTTCAAGACTGACAGTCAGCAAACTGAAGAATGCTGACAAGTTTCCTAACAGGTAGTTGAGATGACAAGATATTTTTCTGTGATATCAATTTATTTGTTTTGATGTTCAAGGCCGGTCTATTATGTGCATTGTTTTTGTGTTCCAGAGACTTTTAATAATATGCATGCTTCCTGAAAATTTGAAAATATCAAGAATTTGCATCTAATTACAGGAAAACTTGATCATTACATACTTGCTATGTTTATGTGATGTCTGAAGACTATCAAAGGAAACAAGAGTCCAGTGAAAGATAGCTATACTCACCTTGGGGCCCTGTGGGCCGGGGCTGCCCCTAGCACCTGCCATGCCTGGTGGGCCTGCAAGACCTCGTGCTCCAGGAACCCCTATAATCCCAAGTGGGCCTGGAGCTCCCTGTTGTGACAGATAATGAAACCTTAGTTATTCTTTATGTGACTATGTTTTCCTCTGTTGGATTTGTGATTGAAAATAAAACTACTGTCAATCAATAGAGACCACTCACCGGAGGGCCCTGGGAGCCAGGTGATCCCTTCTCACCTGGTTGGCCAGCATCACCCTTTGGTCCAGACACCCCAGGGCTGCCAGGAGCACCATTATTACCAGCTGGACCTGGGGGGCCATCTTTGCCTGGAGGGCCGCTGGCTCCTGGGGGGCCTGGGTTACCCTACAAAGAAATGTTTGAAATTTTATAATGAACAAGTAATTTTTTCTCCTCTTTTACCTGCATTCAAATAATTTTATATGGGATTTAATACAAAGAGAAGTAGCAATGGATAAGTTTCTCACCCTATGTATATATGAATGCTCTTTATGGAATATATGGTTAAAAAATACTTTAAAAAGTTCTTACATTATTGCCAGGAGGACCAGGAAGACCACGACCACCAGGGAAGCCAGCAGCACCCTGTGAAATTATAAATATATTTTGGATGTCAAAAATCAAGGAAAACAAATAATTAACCACTAAAAACAAATATAAATTGTAAGAAATGTGGTAGGACCTGCATTCTACTTGGGATCACTTGTGGTTTGTTTTTTCCTCTTGGAATTTACATATAACTCACATATGAATGAGTGATTATAATTTTATACTCTCTTTAGGGATCTAGTGCTTTCAAAGCAGTTTTTATACAGATTGATATTAATTAATGCTTTTCAATAATAGTTAAGAGGATCATTACTTACAGGACCACCAGGACTGCCACGTTCGCCTTTGACACCTGGGGGACCAGGGGCACCCTATATGGAAGGGAGATGGAAATGGTTTATAAGAATAGCACCAAAATCAAAATTTGGGAAAAGCATTAAGCCTTTGTAAGTCAGTAACTCTACTTATCATGATAATCATCTCGTAATACATACAATCATTATGTTGTACCTCTTAAACTTATACAATACAATGTTATATGTCAATTATATCTCAGTAGAACTGGGGGAAAAACATTACTACAGAAATGAGAAGCTACATCAAAAAAACAAACAAACAAAAACAAAACCAGTAACTCTATGAGGACATTAAAATAACTTGACTGAGGTCATATCTAGATTGTTGGAGTCAAGCGTCAAACTCAGAACTGTATTCCTAGGAAAACTGTACCCTTGTTACCATGACAAGCTCTCTCAGTATGAAATATTGAAGTATCGACAAATCTAAGTGCTTTCCATTAGAAGGCTTAGAGAAAGAGAAATACTTACAGAAGGCCCAGCATTTCCGGGGGGCCCTGCGATTCCAGGAGGTCCACCTTCACCTTTCTCACCAGGAGCGCCTCTTTCACCTTTACCACCAGGCTCACCGTTCTGGCCCTGCATTCAGAAACAAAAACAGCCTGTGAGGTTACATCCTTCACAATACACTGGGCTTGTCCTTATTTTCCTTCAGAAAGTAGAATTCATCAGGTGGAGAGCTATTGAAATAAAATTGGAAAAGAAGAGTCTTTGAAGACATGGAAGAAACAAAGACAATGAAAATGTTTCCATGACAGGGACTTCCCTGGTGGTCCAGTGGTTAAGACTCTGAGCTTCCACTGCAGGGGGCGTGGGTTCGATCCCTGGTTGGGGAACTAAGATCCCGCATGCCCCATTATGTGCCCCCCCACCGCCCAAAAAGAGTTTCTATGATAAAAGAAAATTATCAAGAAAGTGGTAAGATATACATTCTTTGTCATAAAGGAGAACCTCTCTCCGAGGATTGTGCATTTCAAAGCAATCACCAGTAAATACATTTGAGAAAGATGGGGCTTAGAGCAAATTTTAATTAGTACCATCTAATAATGGAAGAACCTTTCAAATTTTCAGAGTGCTTTAGATCTAGGGGATCATGTTAGCCTCATTAACCTAGCATAAAGACAGGCCAGGTGTTTTTTTTTTTTTTTTTTTTTTTTGCGTTACGCGGGCCTCTCACTGTTGCGGCCTCTACCGTTGCGGAGCACAGGCTCCAGACGAGCAGGCTCAGCGGCTATGGCCCACGGGCCCAGCCGCTCCACGGCATGTGGGATCTTCCCGGACCGGGGCACGAACCCGTGTCCCCTGCATCGGCAGGCGGACTCTCAACCACTGCGCCACCAGGGAAGCCCCAGGCCAGGTGTTTTTATCTCCATCTTTTAAACAGTAAGAATAGAGATAATGTGTAAAAAAAAAAAATAGGAGGTGGATAAATGAACCCCCATAAGGAATGAGTGGTTGAGATAGATTAGAATTCAGACTTGACTTATACTTCTGCTATTTTTCAGTGAGATAGTGATTCTGGGCTGTATGATATGTATGTTTTAATGTTCATACTTACAGGAGCACCAGGGAAGCCAGCAGGTCCTGGTGGCCCATGTTCACCTCTCTCACCCTTAATTGAAAAATATACTCATTAGTCACAGTGAAGACATCTTCCCATTGGGAGCACACATCATCCTCTGTATCATCTTATCTTTCCTTTAAGCTAAGAAAAGATAGTGTTAGTGTGCAAAGCTAACTAATGTAGCTTAACCTCTGAAGACTTTTCCATTTCTCAATAAAATTCAAAGTAGACACCAGAACCATTGATTCCTTCTGCTTCTGACTGTGATATTATTTGCAAGAAAAATAATTTGAAAATTTTGAAGTGTTTAAAAGACTTACTTGTATAACTTCTAAAATGTAAGGATTTAAAAAAATAAAAATATGGTAAAAGTTTTGAGAAATCAATCATTAAATTAATTAATTAAAAGCATTTACTAAATATCTCTCCTGAGTCTGCAAACCCTGAAGGTAGAGAATTTTAGATCTAGGAGGCTCAGGCAAAAATCCTATAGCTTTAAGAAATACTCATTTACAAATGCATATTATTTGTGCAATTTTTATATTTTTTCCAGAATTGTTTAGGAAAGATGGCAAGACTTGAAATGGTCTCTTCTGAATTTTAGATTTAAGAACTTTAACCTTGCCTTGCATGCCATATGATGCCTAAAGACAGTATTCCATCATTGAGACTCAGGACCACAAGCAGAATTGCTAAAGAGGGAAGCACAGGTAGCTGCTGCCTGTGTGGGCTTAAAATTATGTTGAAATGTCTTAAACACTTACAGGGCCACCACGAGGACCAGCTATACCCGGAAGTCCAGGGGCACCACTTTCACCCTTAAAAAAGAGAAAAATAATTTATATTGCCCTGCATCCAAACAACAATGACGACAAAAGACATTTTCCGTTTCTAAATAGTGTCAAGTGTTACCTTATCTCCAGGCTGACCAGCTGGGCCAGGGGGACCAATGGGACCAGTAGGACCCTAAAGGAAATAGAAATATACTTTAATTTCGAAGATAAAAAGCATCATTTTCCTTATTAATCAAAGAGCATATATAAGGACATACTGTTCATCTAATAAACTAGATAATATGATTGCTTTGATAGCTTGAATGATATGCTCTTCACTCAGTGTGTAAATACTGCAGAGCTTAGTAAATATAAGATTTTATGGATTATATAATTCAGTGGCAATTTATGGATTCATTTTTTCTTTCTATTGCAGAAGATAAATAAGATGTGATATAAGATTTCACAGTCGTATCTTTTAAAATTAAAGTGCATTGCCTTATTCAATTGTATGATAATTCAAAATATTTCATTTAACCACTTAAATTAGTGTTACACATATTACAGTTTTCACATTGAAGTTTTCAAATATTAAAGTTTTACTTATATTACATAAATAAAATATTAGATTTTTAAAAAAATTGTATGATGGCTTACTCATCTAGTCTGTTAAAAGTGAAGCATTTATGAATTTGTTTAAGGCAACTACAGTAAAGATAACGTCTATCTAATGGCTTAGTTATCATGTTTATTTGCTACAGTCATATCTAGGTGTTTACTAATGTGAATAGAATTGATTGTAATGTGTTTTTTTTTCAATTTTTATTTATAATAGTTAAATAGTTAAATAATAGTTAAATAGTTATATAGATTCATGGAAGTTTGCAAAGAAATATACAGGAGAATCCTGTGCATCTTTCTCCCAGCCTCCTTCAGGATTACATCTTACACAACTATGATATAGTATCAAAACAAAGCAATTGACATTGGCACGACCCATAGAGCTTATACAGTTCACACCAGTTATACATGCACTCATTTGTGTGTGTGTGTGTGTGTGTGTGTGTTCTATGACATTTTATTATGCGTAGCCTCGCATGACCACCACCACAATCAAGATATTCAAAGGTACAATCATCATAAAAGACTCCCTCATGTCACCTCTTTATAGTTACACCCATCTCTCTCTCCCCTATTCCTCAATTTTGGTAACCATAAAGCTGTTCTATATAATTACGTTATTTCACAAATGTTACATGAATGGAATCACGCAGTACGTCCTTTTTAGATTGCCTTTGTCACTCAGCATGATGTCCTTGGTGTTTGTATAAGTTGTTACATGTATCAACTTTTTATTGCTAAGTAATATTCCATGGTATGAATGTACCATGGAATTTCAATGTTTTTTAAAATCAAAAAGTTCCTTTATCAGCATTGAATTTTAGTGACTTATTATGACTTCAGCTTATAACATTTATCATACTTTTGAGATTTTTTCCATTCTTAGGTCACTGTTGAACTGTTAGTGATAGAAATCAGGAATTTTAACAATCATGTCATTTGGGTCTTCTTAATGTCCAGAAGGTGGTAAAGTATGGTCTAACTTATCATGAGGAGTTTTTGGAAAAAATAGAAGTTGAGGTGAGGGACTACTCCATATCACATACAGATAAATTCTGTTTCTCCCCAATTCGAGTACTCACCCTTGGACCATCTTTCCCTGGAGCACCATCAACACCTGAACTGCCGGGCTCACCCTGTCAAATAAAAGCCAGTGTCATCAGATTAGAGGTATTTTCACTGAAAACATGCCAAGAAGAGGACAAACCCTCAAGATTAGCTGCAACGTATAGTAGGTGTTCTGCTTAAAAAGTTGCTTTAGAAATCCATCTCAAATTACACTTACTAGATGGGGGTGGGGTGGGAGGGAGGTCCAGGAGGGAGGGGTTATAGGTATACATAAACCAGATTCACTTCATTGTACAGCAGAGGCTAACACAACATTGTAAAGCAATTTTACTCCAATAAAAATATATATATATAAAAATAAATAAATAAGTAAAATGATAATATTAATTTGAAAATAGATTACTTTCCAGAAATGTTGCCTTCCTTTAACCAACAAAGTCTGTTTTATTACATAATTAACAGAGAATAAGTTGGTACCTTATCACCTTTTGGACCAGGGCCTCCAGGACCCCCTCTTTCTCCAGGCATTCCTTGCAGACCAGGTGAACCAGCATTACCAGGTGGCCCAGGGGAACCAGCAGGGCCCTGAAATTAAAGGAGAAATAGTAAATCACAAGAAAGAAATAAAATGCATTTTGTAAAATCTAGGTGAATTGAATTATGTGGAGTTACCTTTCCTCCTTCAGAACCAGGGGGGCCAGTTCCCCCTCTAGGCCCAGGGGGCCCTGCAGGTCCAGTAGGTCCACGTTCACCAGGGGCACCAGAATCACCCTGTAGTAGGAAAATGGAATATCCCTGTTAGGAAAACCAAGGCTAAAAACAAAGCAAAAACACCCTAAATTGTATTGTTTTGATATAGACCACAAGGTTCTTAACTTACATTTTTGAACAATTTAGAAATTTTTATAATTATAAAAGACATTTGATCAACTGAGTGAGAAACGGAAACACAAAATTAGTTAATCTAAACAAGGAAACTTGGATAGCTGGTCTGATGAGCTAGCTTTGACAATATTATTATTATTTTATCACAAAGGCAAATTTTTAAAGTTCCTCTACCAAAACAGTTTTTCTATAGAGAGCCAATGTACTAGAAAAGTTTTCTTTTGAAATTTCAGGTCCATAGTTGACTCTACAGTGTTTATTCATGTGAGAAAATTTCATTTTCCAGATGATGCAAATTTAATGTATTGGAAATGTCTCAGGTTACCCTAAGTGTATTCACCAAACATTTGCAATGTCGTGCTTCTAAAAAAAGGAATATTTTGGTTTGCTGTACTAAAAATGTGTCACTAATCAACTGCTCTATAACATGCTGAAGAAATGAGAAAATAAGTAGAAATATTTACCTTGCCTCCTGGAATTCCAGGTGCACCAGCCTCACCCTTTGGGCCCTAGGAGATTGGCATTGCATGATTAGGCCTCTATCAGAATATACGTTATATAAGTATAAGCAAAATACACACTTGACTTGCATACTGTAAAATTTGTCCAATCTTGAGCTGTATACTCTTCCTTGAATTCCTTTTATTTTATGGTAAAATTCAAACTTTCCATGGAATAGTTATGACTGAATAATTTTTCTTTGTTTTATTAATGAATATTTCAAAACTAATTGTTAAAGCTCAGATACCATGGCATGAAAATGCAGAAGTTAATAATTTATAAATGATTCGTATTTATTCTTTTGGTTTCTGAGTTTTGAAAAAATGGCAAGCAACTTACCGGTTCACCAGGTTTTCCATTTTCTCCCGGAGGACCACTCGTTCCAGGCAAGCCCTACAAAGAATCGTATTTGTATTGTGTAATCACTTCAAACATTGCTTATAGAAAAGCTTCTCTCATGTAAGTATGTTTCTGCAAAGTATTCAAAAAATGGTTTTAGCAGTCTTTTTACGTGTAAAAAATATGTAGCTCTCAAAATCCAACGATAGAGAGGTGATAGTCATATCTTACAAACCTATGTTCATCTCCCTCAATTCTTTCTGTTGCTGTATATAAAAATGAATTGATAAGTGTGGTGAGATGAATTTAGCTATATACATTTAAATTACAATAAAAATAAGTATAAGCATATAGAATTACGTGAACTTTATTTTTTTAAAAAAATTATTAATGCACTCCTTCTAGAATAGGCATGGAAGTTATGCTTATTAACATTGCCTATTGTTTTATTTCAAGGTAGAAGTCAGATCCACACATTTTAAGCTTAAGATGCATTATAATCTTTTAGTGTCACAAAAAACTGAACAGCTGATTAACTCAACAAATACAACTATCAAAGGAAAGTACTGATAAAAGTAGGTGCCCAATGACATTTAAGTAACAAATTCTTACTTGTAATCCTTGTGGACCAGGGCTTCCTGTGTCTCCTTTGTCACCACCTGGCCCCTATGTACAAAAAAATATTGAGATGCTTCATTATAAGATATCCTTTCATATTTAGTTCACACAGTTTTAATTTCATCAGGCCAGTTGCTTAATCAAAAAATTAATGGTGTAAAGGAGGGCAGAGTCTGGCTTGTGGAAGTGATGCAAGGGAGACATGTACAACATAAACTTTACTCAGTATTAGAATTTAGCTAGCTAACTAACTAAACAAGCTTTGTAATTGCTTTGGTGAACTATAATGATATAGTGTCAGAGATTGTATAATTCCCAAAGTCTTCCCTTGGCCCCAGTCTCATCCACTTCCATTTCCAATTTATGTGAGTAAACTTACGGTAGGTCCTGGGGGACCCTGAGGTCCGGTCTCGCCATTCTTTCCAGCAGGACCCTGAAAAAAAAAAGCAGTTATGGAAGCAGAGATAAAGATAATAGAAGTCATAGAGTTGGAGAGAAATGCTTCTACTAGAAGACTGGAAATGAGTGGATGAAAGCTACATACCTGAGGGCCAGGACCTCCAGGACTACCACGTTCTCCATTCTTTCCAGGAGCGCCCTAAAGAAGTAGCCAGTATTTACTTACTCTCAAAAGGAAATTATTCATTATAGTGTTCTCTCATGTTTTTGATCTGTCCCCTACACACACATGCATATATCCACAACCGAAAACTACTTTCGAGAACTAGGTTTCCATAAATGTTCCACTCTTTGCCCAGAACTCCAGAAAAAATATTTTAGCTCCCTTCTCACATGGTATTTTGATTTTCATATACTCTTCTGTGCTTTGAAGTGGAGATCAATTTTTGGCCATCTGCACTCCCATATAGAAAGTAAAAGACCTTTTGTCAAATATTTATTGAAGAAATGAAGGAAGGAACTCACATCATTTCCTTTAGGACCAGGGAAACCCATGACACCAGGCTGACCTCGGGAACCAGGTGAGCCTGGAGGACCTGGTCGACCACTTTCTCCTTGACTTCCCTAATGAGAAAAAATTATATTAATAGAGGTTTCATAAAAATCTGATCAAAATATACAATGTACATACCAAGGCTATACAATATACATCAAGCCTAGTCCAAACTGTGCATTTCATTATTCTCTGGACTTGTAAAATGAGATGCTAAAAATGTACTTACGGGAGGCCCTGGTTTCCCATCGCTGCCTGGTCCTCCAGGACTACCGGGCATACCCTAAATTGAAGAATTCAGTCAGTCAGCTGATTTTAAAATAATAATTAAAAAAAAACTAACAGCACCTATCTGTAAAATTTTGAGCTTTCCACTGACATATGTAGCTTCATATTTGCACACATGTTTTTCTGTCTGTAAATATCTTCGTCAAGCATTCTATTTTCTGTTCTTCAATCTATACTAGCTTAAGTTTTCTTCAGAGAATTTTGTTTTGTTTTGTTTTGAGCCTACAAAATGTATAGTCTGATTTAAGTTATTTTTGAACGTTCTTCATTTGCTTTTCCTCTTAGTAAATGACAGTGTCAAGCAAACAGTGTTCCTCTTTACCCTCAATCCTGGACCTCCAGGGAGGCCGTCTCGGCCAGGTTCTCCAGCAACTCCTCTGGGCCCTGCAGGGCCTGGACCACCACGCTCCCCGGGGGGACCCTACATGATGAAATAAATCAACATGTATGAAAAAGAGCCTTCATTGACCTAGACGTTGACAGTATTTAGGTTGCAACTAGAGAACTTCTTTTGGTCCCTTAAAGAGAGTTGGGGTGTTGCTGGCATGCTCAGCGTAAATCACCATTACCTATTAGCTTGGGTTGTCATACTGGAAATATTTTAAGGCAACTTCGATGAACATCACATGCTGAAGAAAGCAATATTTAGTGGGCTTAGCAGTATAGTTTGGTGCATATAAAATCAAAGATCTTTGATGTTATGAAATCAGATTTGCACTGCACTTCAGAGTTTCTGAAGAACTTTCAGGCATTTTAGTCTAACTTATTCTTGCAATGATACTGAGATAAATAGTTCCCAATTGACAGATAAATTAAAGAATTCTCATAGAGGTTAAATAACATTAGTTACAAAGCTAAGAGAATGGCTGAGCAGGGAATGCAATCATTGTTTTACATTGGGAATTATTATTTTTTTAACTCCAACATATTTCATTCAGATAGTTAGGTGTTAATTAATGGGAAACTGTATAGAAGAATATACCTATGTGTAGCACCAACATTTCTGAACATTGAAAACTAAAGTTATCTACCTTTTCTCCTGGAAGGCCATTTGCTCCAGCAGGTCCTCGGAATCCAGGCATACCCTGAAATAGTGAAAGGCAAATATTTAAGTCCAAAGTGTCAAAACGTTTGCATAATTCTTATATTGTGAAATGCTTCAGAACAATATTTGGGATTGAGTACTACTCAAATTAAGAACAAACACGGTTGCCTCACAGTGAAGGTGAAGTTCTATGATTGTTTTCCTTTTCGATGCCCGTGGGAAACATACCCTTTCTCCTGCAGTTCCGGGAAGTCCGTTCGCACCAGGTTCTCCAGGAGAACCATCTTTGCCATCCTCACCCTTAAGTCCTGGAATACCTGGAGAACCAGCTTCCCCCTGTGAAAGGAGGTCAATAAAGAAATAATGACTGAATTTCATTGCTAATTTTTTACCTGTTTATTTCCTGATTATGGTATACATTTCTAAGAAATAATCAAATCTGTTAGGGCGATACTTACGCGTTCCCCACGTGGTCCTGGCTCTCCTTTGGCTCCATTCTTACCGGGTTCACCCTAAATGGGACATAATCTTGGTTTAAAAGTGTGGAAAATAGACTAACAAAATAATCACCAGTCACACCTGATTCAATTATAAAACCAGAGTGAAATCAATATAAATTCAATGGAACAAGAACAAAGAACCTGCTATTTCTTTTTTTACTGTGAGAAATAAGCCACACCTTTCAGACAATAAAGGAAAAATAGACAACTTACTGCAGCACCTCGCTGCCCGGGAGCACCATTGGTACCAGAGGGTCCTGGAGGACCGCGGGCTCCTATCAGTCCAGGAGCCCCAGGAATGCCAGCAGGACCCTAGAAACAATCCAAGAACATTAACATTAGGCAAACTTGAACTTTCTTTTCTAAATAGCTAACTTAAATGTATTGTCCTGCAAAATGCAGAGGAAGCCAATAATATGTGTGTGGCTGAATGTGGGTGAGTGGTGGGGGCATCTTACCATTTCACCTTTACCACCAGGACTACCATTACTCCCAGGAGGGCCCTAGAGGGGGAAAAGAGCATATTAATAAGAATGCAAATAGTACATATATTTTTGAAGTTGCTTATATAACTAAAATAAATTTATTGATGGGTGTTGTGCTTTATAGAGATTAGGTGATTCTTCCAACTACAGCACAACACATAAAATGTCGCAAAAAATGATCATTATCTGAATAAATTAAAGATAATATGCACTTGGTCTAAATTATTAAGTACATAGAGAAGAGGTTTTTGGTCTTGTTTCTTTTCCAAATTTTTCTGATTGGTGATTAGTTTGGGGCACAGTCTTCAAAGTATCAGATAACTATCCATCCTCTACTTATTCTGTGTCATATAACCATAAAATTCATAAATTCTAGAAAAGTGCAGACCGCAAAACCAATTTCGGTACTAGTCAAATCAATAGTAGAGTTATTGCAGAGCACTAAGCAACATTTCTTTGCAAAAAAGTAATTTTAATTGATAGCAACATTAGAACATACGCTTTCATGAAATAAAGTGTAGCAATGCTCTCCCTTAATCAGCCATATTTGGTACTTACAGGAGGACCTGGAGCACCAGCATGTCCCTGAGGTCCAGGTTCTCCTCTTTGTCCAGGGGAGCCGCTAGAACCAGGAGATCCCGCAGGTCCAACTTCACCCTAAGGGATAAAACCCTAAGTAGTCAGTCTCCCTTGCCACTTCTAATCTCTTGGCCAGTTTGCTAGTCAGTCCTGTTTAAACCCATCTCCCAAAAGCTGAAGCAGTATGATAATTAAAGCAAAGTTTCATTAATCATATAGGCAGAGAAAAATGGTAACTATGTGTGTGACTGTGTTATCTCTGTTTGCAGAAAGAGACTGGGAAAAAAGAAAAGACAACAGAAGAGATCAGAATAGGAAAAGGCCAGGGATAAAACCCCTTTTGGAATCAAGAACAGGGCTTTAAAGATCTATATAGCTCAAAGAAATCCACTTGACTGTTAAAAAAATCACTTTCAAGACGCAGCCCAATGATTTTCTGTTGTCTCAAAGATATATTTTACATTCTTCTACAGAAATACATGTTTACCTTAGCACCAGGGGAACCAGGGAATCCTGCAGTTCCAGGGGGACCAGGGGGACCCTAAAAAAATAAATAGCATTTCAAGAGCTCTTAATCAAGTAAAAGAAAACTAACACTACTGGTAAATAATAAGTGGGTACATACAAAATACAGAGGAAAATTAGATAAAAACAGTATTTATCGTCAGTGATGAACATTATGTGGAGAAATAGTGTGGTAAAATAAAAAGAAAATTTGGATCCCCCATGCCCGACAACTTATGCCATGAATTCTGGTGACTTTGTGCAGGTCACTTAGCCTTGAGCTCTCATTTATAAAATAGAGATAGCATTATTATCTATTTTGCAGGACTCTTTTAATTGTCATATCCAATATTGGCCCTTAACTAACATTATAAGCACCATACAGATGTTAGTAACTGGCCAAGTATAATAAGGAGTATCAGAATTTTGTTTATGGGCTTACCGTTTCTAGATTGTTTCTAGATTTTGTTTATGGGATTAGTGTCAGTTTGAATCAGATATTTATGAACAACGTTGAGTTTTAGGTCTACAATCCATGTTATTCCACTACTCCAAAATTCCATAATCTCTCATTACACTAAACCCATCAGGGTTAGATGAAAAGTTACTTACTGGTTGTCCATCACTTCCTCGAGCTCCATCATTACCTCGAGCCCCCTAAAAAGAGAAGCTGGTCTCAAATATCTTCTTTCTGAAAGGCTGGTCACAAGTAACATTTTAACTAAAAGTCTGACTCAATTGAGTCAGAATTTTCCTCAAGTATATTAAAATCTGCTTAATAATTATATACCTTTAGAGGGAAATTGTTGAAATTCTGATAGGCACAGTAATGATCTGATGTAGGAAGATTGGATTCTGTGTTTTACAGAACTGAAGGCAAATTAACGCATAAATATGCCAAGTTAACACGTTAAAAAAATCCTCAACAGATAATAACTATAAAACACTTATTTGTTTGCATATCGTTATGGCTAAAATCCTTATGGAGGTGACTTTAAATACAATTTTATAGAAAACTTGTTGCAGATTGTCACAGCCTGAAAACTGACTGAGACACTTCTCGGTGACTCGGATTGTAATTGTGTAATGTCAGTAAGAATACTCACTGCAGCTCCAGGAAGTCCTGGTCGTCCTCTCTCACCAGCAGGTCCTCTTGGACCCTACAGAATAAAATTAAAAGTGTGGTCTTATTTTATTTTTTACTTTTTTTTGCGGTACGTGGGCCTCTCACTGTTGTGGCCTCTCCCGTTGCTGCAGAGCACAGGCTCCGGACGCGCAGGCTCAGCGGCCATGGCTCACGGGCCCAGCCGCTCCGCGGCACGTGGGATCTTCCCAGACCGGGGCACGAACCGGAGTCCCCTGCATCGGCAGGCGGACTCCCAACCACTGCGCCACCAGGGAAGCCCGTGTGGTCTTATTTTAAACTAGATATGTGTGGGAATGGTTGCAGAGTGAGTGAGGCAAGTTTTGCGTTAGGTGGAAGTTAATAGTAAAACTGAAAATTGTATGATAAGAAACATAATTACCATTGCTCCAGGAGATCCATTTTCACCTGGAAGGCCATTTTCACCCTAGAAACATATAAAATGTGTCACCATTTTGTATAACAGGAGGAGAAATTTATAACTTTTTCAACACAGCATATTATAAAAAATATATGGAACCAAGAAAAAGATTACATTTTAACAATACCAAATTTTTGTTAGCAATCTTATATGCTATAAATCTCAGTTTTTGCATTTTAAAAACTTGAAGACTAAACAGAAGTAATCAACGTGTTACTCAGGGGCACTCAGTCATTTCTAATCTAGACAGTTCAAGTTATCAGCTTTCACGGAAGTTTTAAGACAACATCTCAATTAGTCGCTGTTATTTAGCTCTTAAAATGCAAAACTCAGGTATGTTTTAGAAAAAAGCAAACCCTAAAATATAAATCTTAAATATAGCTATAATATTTAAATAAATTTATTTATGAAAATATGATTTTGTTGTGATTTACCTTTAATCCAGGAGCACCTTGTTCACCTTTTTCTCCATTTCGTCCATCAAAGCCCTTTGAAATAGATAAAAGTAGTAAAAATATTAAGATCTGTTAACAATTCAGAACAGTTAAGAACTTTACATTAAATTTTTTATAGCTAGCTTTACCACATAGCACTATTTTCAACATTGACATGAATAATTTAAAACTCTTTTAAGTGCATTGAAGACCTTGGACATTGATTTTACAGTTAAAAACATGAAATAATTAGAAAGTACAATTTAGTCCAATTAGGAATTTGCTTTAAATGTAGCATTAGGCAAGTATCAGTTTCATAGATTTTTTTTTTTTTTTTTTTTTTTTTTTGCGGTACGCGGGCCTCTCACTGCTGTGGCCTCTCCGATTGAGGAGCACAGGCTCCGGACGCGCAGGCTCAGCGGCCATGGCTCACGAGCCCAGCCGCTCCGCGGCACGAACCCGCGTCCCCTGCATCGGCAGGCGGACTCTCAACCACTGCGCCACCAGGGAAGCCCCTTATAGATTTTTATGTCTACGAAGTTGATCAATTTTTGGCTCAGCTGGTTTACTCTATCTAATGTTTTGCATAGAATAAGTCATTTGATTCAATCTGTAAATCATATTGACTAAGTCAAGAATAGTTCTCAATAGTATATTTTCATCTTTTCTGACAGTGGCAGTACGAAACTTACTGTTTTATTTATTTTATTATTATTATTTTTTTTTCTTTTTGCTGTACGCGGGCCTCTCACTGTTGTGGCCTCTCCCGTTGCGGAGCACAGGCTCCGGACGTGCAGGCTCAGTGACCATGGCTCACGGGCGCAGCCGCTCCGCGGCATGTGGGATCTTCCCGGACTGGGGCACGAACCCGTGTCTCCTGCATCGGCAGGCGGACTCTCAACCACTGCGCCACCAGGGAAGCCCAGAAACTTACTGTTTTGCAAATATTTTCCATACACTTAAAATCAGCTTTATTACTTTATCTAAAATAACTAGTTGATTTGGTCAACAAATAAAGTTGATAGACTTAGAAAATCAAAACAACTAGTCAGAATCAATCATTTTTGGCACACACTCAATTGTCCAATAAAATTGGTAAGTAAATTGGTAATAAAATTAGGTAAGTAAACGTAGCCAAATGCAACAACGTACAGTCAATTTAGAAGCTGTACTTACTCTATGTCCTTTCATACCAGGGAATCCAGGCATGCCAGCTGGACCTTTAAGACCCTAAAAATAAGGAATAAAAAAGATATTAATGAACTTTCAAATAGACTCACAATCCAGTAGTAAAAATGCCTTCCCTTTTTAAGTTTAATTTAATTATATAATAATTTTCAACCTAAGATCATTGTGATTACTCCAACTAATTCATTGCATGCTGAAAACTTACTGGAGGGCCAGGCAGTCCTCGCTCTCCAGGTCGTCCGGGTCTTCCTGATTCCCCCTAGGTGGAGAAATAAAAGAATATATGGGAGCTTGTGTAAGAGAAAACTCATTGTAACCAATTAGTGAACTGATTATTTTGCATTTTTCTCACCAAGGACTCATGAAAATGGTTGGACTAAACATGGTTGTGAGAACAGCTTTCCTAGTAAAAGGAATGGGGAGAGCTTCTCCCACCTTGATATAAACTTATAAAAAATGCAGGCATCACTCCAAACAAGTATTATGACCACCTCTCAATCCAGTGGGAAGAATTTGCTATTGGAAATTAAATGGGAAAGAAAGACTGACATAATATTAATTGTGTTTTTAAGTTTTCAAGTTCATAAAGAACAGATACAAATTTCTTTATTACAAGAGACAGAGAGAAGAAGCGTCTTCTCTAGTTAAATGTTGTAATCACTGGATGATGCTTCCTGACAGAGTCAAGAAGCACATTTGGGGGTTTTGTTGGCTTGGAATTCAGAAACTGGTATATGTAGCCATGCAAATACTATGTAGATTTTCAGAGATTAATATGAGCTAAAAAGCTATTAAGATATCAACAATGTTTTGAGTAAGGTTTTTCTCTTTGAGATTCTAGAACATGGGATATACTATTTAGAATATTCCAACTTGAATTTTGCTGTATCCCCATTCAATTCTTAAAAACTTACATCCTTTCCGGCAGGACCTAATGGACCTATAGCACCAGGAGGTCCTGGAGGACCCTGAAAAAAAGGAAATAAAAAACAAATATATCTGTAGATTTTTCTGTTACAATCAATTTATTATTCTAACTATGTGTATTTCTAGAAAAAAACTCCTTTTAAAAAATACTATCAATGTTTCTCATCATGAAAATGACACACCAAGTTAATAGTATACCTATATTAAATCCAGTTGTTACTGTTTATTAAACTTATTTTTTATGAAAATTAAAAGTACCATGTATCAGTATTTTATATCACATGTGTGTATTTATAAACCCAAATGCACTTCTACATTTTTTGAGATATTGAAATTTTAAATGTATAGGTATTTTCAAATACTTTGAAATATTAAACTAACTTCACCTTATTTACACAGCATGTTTTCTTGGTGGACTTTGTTAGACTATGCTTATTTCTACTAAATTAATTTTAAAATTATATTTCAGAAGAGTAGACATGCAGGTGAACTGAGTGGCTACAGGATAATTAATCTATATTTAAGACAAAGAGGATTTGTATTCACACTAGGAAGTGGACTGTGGTGGTGGCTAATTAGCCAGGAAATTCCTAGATTAAAATAGTAAGTGTCTCTTAAGATATCTAAACCATTGAGTCCAAAAGATCTTTGAAACCAGTTCAACGATCATAAAAGTACAATTTTTTATTTTAAATAAATTTGATCTATATTTTGTAGCATTCGACAGTTATGTTTTAGAAAATGAAGGTGGTTTCTATCTAGAACTGTTAATTTATTAAATATAGATATAATTGTTACTTACTGCAGGACCAGCTTGCCCAGGTTCACCAGGGGGACCTTGGTATCCTGGAGAACCCTAGTGGATAGAATAATACATAAATATTTTTAAACTAACTTAATCTTCATATGATTCATTTACATCGTGAAGACAGTATGAAATCAGAATTTGTGAATGTAGTCAGCGAATTTTTTTCTAGTTTATAAATATTGAAACTACAATTTTTCAGATCAAAATAGTTAATTTATTCCATTCTACACACTTAATTCCACTGAAACTGAATTGTTTCAGACTTGAAGCCATATGACATGCAAATTAAATATGTGTTTTAATTTTACCAAGGTTTTAATTGCTAATAGTTAAAAGGAACTAAATGTGAAATTCCAACATCTTTGAAGGAATGATAGTTTCTTGGTTGCTACTTCTCTACTTAATTGGGATTATGCTTGCTGGAATGGCAAAATTACAGCAAGATCTGTATTAACTTGATTCATATAATATGCATGAAGAAGAAATCACCATTAATGACTATACTTACAGGGGAACCAGGATGACCAGATGTACCAGGGGGACCGGGTGGGCCGGGCGGACCCTGGAACAAAAATTTGAAAGATAAGTACAAAATAAATGCATCTGAACTACACTTTATCCAGGCATCAGAGATATCTCTGTTTTGAATGATACTGACCTCTTTAAAAATGAGAACAGCATACCTCATTATGTGATAACTATTCATGGATTAATTAATTTTATTAATTTTAAATGAAAATCTCATCACAAAAACTTCACTCTAAATGAAATTCTCTCAGAGTCAATAAAAATTACTGGTGTTATAAAATGTTGACCTGAGTTCCCCAAAAAGTGCTTTCAAAATCTGGAAAAATCTATACAAAATGCTTTGAGAATCTCTGCAACATTAGGGTGATACTTGAACTGGTGAAGAAGCATATTTTTGCCTGGCAGCTCAACTCAATGTGGAAAAATATTGATCTGCATAGTATAAACCCCAGTTTCTAAAAATAATGATGTAAATCAACCCAAAAGTTCTTAACTATATCACTGAGTTGTGTTGATATGAAGATTTAGTTGCGTGTGTAAGATTCATCGTACGTGGGACAACAATAAATTGTAAATGATTTATCATTGTTCAGAAATACAGGTTAAACTAGAAAATCTTCAGTTTTGTAGCACGCTATTTATAAATACTGATAATAAATTTATAAAACTAGAGTTTCTTCTTAAATTTTATCTTGTAACTTTTTTTCTGGAATCTTAATAAGTAGCGGATTTTTTAGTTTTTCTTTTTAGTAAAAACAGTATATCGGATTGAAAAATAGGATTCATAATGTGAACGTAGCTGAATAACAACAGATGTTTACATTTACATAGTTAATACAATTGTCCTTCTGGTTTTAAAATATACACAAAAAATTCACAGGCTCTAAAACTTTAAAGATGAATAAAATTCTCTTCTTACAATTTACTTTTTACCAATTAAGGGTCTTTCTTTAACTGATCATTTAGATCTAATAGCTGAAATTTTGTCCTCTCTAGTTTTAGAAGTCACAACTATGGGGTCCAATGATCTGGGCAGCAATCTTCCATAATCCCTGGGAATCCAGCTTCATGTCTCATTTACACATACATACCTGTTTCTGGCACTAAAATGATAACCTTCCATAGTACTGCTCCTCCTAATGGCTATTCTTCAATAAGGGTCATTTACATGGGACACCATGCGTCAAGCACACGTGCCTAGGTTTCAATGCTTTTTTGCTCTTTTCTTCTATCAAAACTTCAAGTCATTTACCTTGAAGGGAACCTTTTGCATACAATGTGAATTGATATCATTTACAATAGATGAACTTCAATACTCGATAAATTCTGGAAATATTTGTATTTCAGGATTTGAGGTGAGATGAATTGTGATATTGGATTGTCATCAAGTGGATTGTCATCTAGAAAGTAGCATTTGAATAGTGAGCAGACATTGAAAGAAGGTTTTGAACAACTCAGGTGAGAAAAAGGAAAAGTGGAAGTGAAAAATAACAAAATTTGGTTAAAATTAGGAAATATATGAGTGTGAGACCTAAGTATGAAGGCAGGTGTGCCCCTGGAATAGGTGGTTTTGTAAAGAAGGAAGGAGCGGCAAAACAGGCATGAAATAAGAGGCAGTGAAGAAAAAAATGAGTTAGGAAAGAAGGATCATGATAAACCTACCATTTTCTTTCCCGCCTTAACAAAGAATAAGCTATTTTGTACAATTCTGTCATAACACTGTATTGCTAGAAGAACAACCATTCAAGATTTAACAGAGTGGAAGGCTAAATTATTCTCTAAATGCTGACAAACACTTGTACATACAGCTGGCCCGGGATAGCCTGTGATTCCTCCTGGTACTCCAGACTTGACATCATATGCCTCATACTGGGGAGAATAGTTCTGTAGCAAAGAGACCAGGTAGTTAAGATCATGTTGATATATAGATCATAATTCTTTTCAGAAGCATTTAGAAGAAATGCATGCAACATCTGTTCACTGATAAAGTTTTCTGCATGCCAGAGAGTGTGGTATGTATTATTTAATTATCTTGCTAATTCTATCTCTGTAACTTTAGATATTAGATGTCTTACAGAAATATTTGCCTAGGCAATGCACAAATCTTTCAACTGACTGTATGCAATTTGTTTCTAAATAATTTTTTTCTACATGCTCTTACTAAAAATATTTCTAAGTGATATCTACAGCCTTAGAAACATAAGATCGTAGACGAAGGCTGAAAGAGCCTTGAGATCATATAATCTGACTTTCTTACTTTGAGCAGAAAAAATGAAGATGTCAAATTACTTTCTCAAAAGTTAATGATACAAGTAAAATTGATATCTCCAGTTTTTAGTTAATGTACCTAACAGATTCGCCAAAAAGTAAGCATCCCCATAGAAAACAAGCACGAGATTTAATAGAAAGTTTCATGTGTTTATTGGATTGTTTTGGAGATTATTTTATTTTGAATTCTAGGCCTAGCAATGGATTCTGTTTGGTACCAAGATAAGAATAAGTTAGACTATATCCTTTGCTTCCTATCAAATTGATTTTTGAAAATCTTTTTTTTCAACCCACAGTGATTTGTATATATGTTTTCTAATTTCTCCTAATTTCATGCAGTAGAAATGTTGTCTTATTTATTTGTTTAGTTATCTGCTTTACATGCAGAGTTAGTGGGTTGCCATGCTTTTCAAGAGGAGCAGGATATGCTCTGAAGGCTTGGCAAGAGTAGTTGCATAGGCTTGAATAATCCTCCGGACTTAAAGTCATTAAGGAGTGCTCATAGCTCTTCAGCTGCTTTTGTCCAGACTTTCAGAGGCTTTACCATCAGGATTATAAGGGGAATAGTTACAGCAATTCCTAAATTCTCTAGGTTAATTCTTTGGGGAGTTGATGGTTCATTTTTCAAGCCTAATGCATATATTATATGCCTGCTTAGAAGCTAGGAAATTTTGCAAAGATATAGTAGCAATAGCATTAGAATTATGAGGAAAAGTGAATATTTATAAAGCACTTAGAAGAGTGCCTAGCATATATAAGCACTAGATGGGAATTTGTTAAATACATAAAATCAGAGAATAGATATAAGAAACCCACAGAAGTGAGATGTCATATAGACTAAAGAAAAGAAAATGAACCAGGTAGTTTTAAATAGGACACTCTTTTAGTTCTGGAATTTATTACCTGGTTACCAGTTGGGCATGATTCACAGATTCCAGGAGGGCCGGGAGAACCAGGGGAACCTGGCAGTCCTGGAAGACCAGGATCACCATTTCTCCCAGGAATACCAGGAGGACCCTAAAAAAAAAATCAGAGATAAAAATAAACAAAACACTGGAAAGTCCTAGTGATTTAGAATCATTATTAAATTGTAGCTTCTATGCTTTATAAGAAATCAACATAAGGGATATGTTTTCTCAGGAATCTATACATTTGTACCCAAATCATGTGTATAATTTCAGTGTAATTTATTCCTTTGCATATTGACCTATATGTTATTTTTCAAACCAATAATAGGGGTGAAGACACTATACAAAGTTGGGGAAATCTGAATCTTTACATGCACAATTATGGATTCTCAGTTTGAGTTTATCATGTGTCATTATTTAAATATGTGGTACTAAAGGAAATGTATACATGATGAAAGTTCAAATATGGAAAGGTTATTAGAAGGGAAAAAAAGAAAGCAAACTCATCAAGGAACTAATTTCCTTTCACTGTAGAATGTTTACTTACTGGATCTCCTTTGGGGCCTTGAGGTCCATGACCATTAGGAGGGCGAGTGGGCTAATAAATGGAAAAGATATAGATTAAACAAGACATAGATAGGAACTATTTTCCCATGAAGTGTGTCCCAATTTCTTATCCTAAATTGCATCCAATCCCTGGTTTTTAACAGGAAGGTTCACCTTTTACTGGTAATACCCATGTGATTATTTGCTGGACATTACTTTCACTTCCTTTCAGGCTCCTATGACATAGGAACTATTCATGTGTTTAAGTATGAATCTTGAGTATGTACAGATTTTCTTTAAACTCACAGCTGTTGGAGGCTGTGGGCAAACTGCACAACATTCTCCAAATGGGATTTCGGGGTTGGGACAGTCTAATTCTTGGTCATCACATATTATGTCGTCACAGAGAACAGATCCTGAGTCACAGACGCATATTTGGCATGGTTCTGGTTTCCAGACATCTCTATCCGCATAGGACTGACCAAGATGGGAGCATCCTCCTTCAACAACTGAAAAATAAGAGAGATGGTGTAATATTTTGCACATTCAAAAAAATCCAAAAATTAAATTATGAAGAATATCATGGTCTTCCTCCATAATTTGCTAAGTAGTAAGAGACTGCGTTAAATACCAAATCTGTTTATTAACATCAAATTGGCATACTAAGGTAAATTTTCCTTAGGGCCAGTAGGTATTTTACTTTTGCTTGTAGTGAGAACTTAATACCAGTGGAAATCTGACAATCGCCTAAACATTTACTTATTAATTGTGCAATTGAAAACAAGTTTTGCTATCTAATTTCTATTCTTTGCTTCAACTATAGATGGGAGCATTAAACTATAAAGATGATTTTGTCACTAACTCTGAAGGCTTTCTGGATTTTATTAACCTAGTTGAGAAATTCAGGGGAAAACTGAATTACTCTTGGCAACATAAAACTCTTCCAGATTCCTGGGAAAATCTTAAAAAGTCTTATTGTATGTATTGAATATCACTGCTAGCTCTGTTGGGCATTAGTAGGTCAACATAATATGATATAATATAATATATTGTATACCTCATATGGATGTAAAGAGGTTTCCAAATCACTAAAAAAAAAAAAAAGTTTTTAAAACAAAAATTGGCAAGGAATAATAAGGAAAAATATGAATCATGACCATGTGTATGTGTGGCTTAAAATGGTCAAAAATTTGCTTCAACGAAAATTTTAGACTTGTTTCCTAATTATATGTAAGATACTGACATTTCAGCAGCTATTAACAATGAATCAGCTTAGGGGTTGCCAAAATAAAACCAGGTCTCAATTCTTAAAGCATTAGCTGTGGACTGTGCTTGAATACAACTTTAGCTCTTGAGGATTACTTTGATAGCTTGCCAGTAACTGAGAAAATAAATTACAAGTTTCTAAACATATGCAAAAATTTTTGCCAACAACAAATCACATACTTGTTCAGTATTTGTATTTTTGTGAAACAGTGAAATTTTATTTTTTCAGAGCCCGAACTTTTGTCTGTTGAAAGAGGCTTGCTTGAGAGAAGGCAAGTCATTTAAGAACACTTTTTGGTGCCTTGTGGCCAAGAGGCCTTTGAGAGAGTCCTGAGGTTTTTCCACCTGGATACTACATACAGCCATGAAGATCACCTCTTCAAGTTCCTGTTTTTATATCCTCTCCATACCTGAAGTAATGCTAAATATTTTGAGTATAGAGGTTTGGCTGATTCAGTAAAAAAAAGTTCACCAAAAAAGGAGAATTTTAGAATCTAGGGACTCTACAGCGTACCTCCCCTCCTCATTTCCATCTATGTGTGCAGATACAACTTTAATCATCTTGTGCCACACCCCTGATGGATTCAAGAAGTTTAAAAGTCTTTTCTTGTTACAATTACCCAATGTGTTTACAGCTAATAAAAGAAAGTATGATTGTTTCACTGCAATTTTAAGTAGGCAAGAAAGCATCTGCTTATTTTAAAAAGTTATTATAGCTCCTCCTCCATGTTTGAAACAGATGAGAACATTGGAAAGAAATATTGTCTAAGCTTTTAAAGGAGCATTCCTTTATACTTTGTGAGCATAAAAGCTGAATGCCAAAATGCTTACCTCACGTGAATGAAGTAGGCCTATTTAAATGGTGTTTTGAAAGATATGCTTAAGGGAAGTGCAATCTTTTTCATATTATTATGAACAGTAGTAATTTAAAGGATCTAGGCATTAAATTTTTTCTCTAAGCAGAAATGACATATTTAGGAACTAAGTTCACTGGTTTTCAGAAGAGGCATGAAAATTTTGATGAGATGGAAGGTTGTTTAATAAAATTGTATGACATACACATTTCAAACTTTACACTGGCTCCCTTTTCTTAAGATGAATTATTTTTAAAAAATTTCTCTAAATTAACAGTATATGAAGTGTCCCAACAGATTAGTTTTAGCTCAAGATTTTTTCTCATTAATAATGTGGATATCAGGCTTCTCAGCTTCCTTGAAGATATCACTAGTATAAAGAATATTGACCATAGGCCAATATATGTTTGAAATTTGCTGAGAGTAGATTTTAAGTGTTTTCACCACACACACACGCACACACACACACACACGTAACTATGTGGATGTATTAATTAATTTGATTGTGGTAATCATTTCACAATGTGTATATATATCAACTCATCACGTTGTACACCTTAAATATATACAATTTCATTTGTCATTTATATTTCAATAAAGCTGAGAAAAAAAAGAAAAAGATACGACCAGTTTATACTAATACTTTTTTTAGCTCTTTTTCTTTGGGTCAAGAATATCTTTCTATATTTAACATAGGACCTGTTTTATAAAAATTAGCTGTTGGATACAAATGAAGGTAACAGTTAAAACTAGGGTCAAGCATGTTGTATTTTAAATATCTTCTCTTCCTACATTCTTATTCTGCTTTAAAATCAACATAAAACATTTTCCCTTGTGTATTCATCCTCCTATATTTGTGTCTCATTGAAGGTACTATCACAACCTAGAGATACAGTATTTTACATTCACTCTGCAAACTTTTAAACAAATGAGCGTAATATTGACATTAAAGTTGTAAATGAATTTTTTAGAATTGGGGTTAAACTCAGTGTTACATAATGAAAATTATTTAGCCTTTTCTTTCCAAATTTTATTAGAAGCCATGTGTGTTATGCTTTTTAAAACAAGAGGTCTCAATATAAATGTTGAGTTAATTTGGTGTACTTCTCTTTTTTTTAAAGGTGATGTTGTTCTAAATAAAAGAAGAAAGGTGGAATACTTGAAAAGTAAGAATTAATGCACTTTTGTTTATTGCCGTAACTTATCTCACATTCATTTGAAAGAAATCTGGCTCTCCTGAAAAGTCAGTTCCTGTAGAAACTTGTAGCTGAAAGTCAGACTTTTCTCTGCAGTTCTACCTCAGTCACCCTTGTTGAAAGAATGGAGAATTTTATGTAGTTGCCTCTAACTTTGTGTTTTGTGCATGACAAAATATGGTTGGCAATATGTTCTCTCAGAAGCTAAACCTATTACACAGATGTCTCACGGTCCTCAGTTTTAGGACCATAGCCTAGTTATATATGAGAAAATCATGGCAGAGTAAAGGAAAAAAATGTTTTGCTTTCAAGAGGAATAAAATGCTCTAGTTAGCCACTTGCAGCATTTAGAAATAAAATAGAAAATGGAATTCAGAAACAGTAGTCATCTCATATTATTCCCTTCTTTTCTTAGATATCTAAATTCAGAGCAGCTTTGATGAAAAAAAATAAGATACATACTTTTGTAAATATGTTAAAGAAAAAGTAAATAATCTCATTTTTACTGCTGGACAAGTAATAGATTTCCCAATTACTTCCTTTATTGTTATTGCTTAAACTAAGTCTCCCTGTTCCAATGTGTAATTAATTTTAAACCCCACCTCTCATGTCACTTAATGTTTCTGTTCCTTAGTACAAAGAACTGTCCTGAAATAAATTTCTCTGTGGTCACTCAAACAATGCATTAGACTAAATCATCATCTAAGTTATAAAACAAAATGAAGCTAGTGTATGACATAATCCACTCTTTGACTCTTATTTCCTAGCTCTCTGTTTTGGAACTTTAGAGAAAAATAAAACCAAGTAACATAATTTAATATTTTCAGATGTTCTTAAAAGCTTTCCTTTTTGGTGTTTTGGTTTCCATTCTTCAAATGTTAATTTATGCTGATTTGATGGAATTTTACTGTAGTGACTAAAAAATAATGCAAGTTATGTTTGTCTTAATTACATTTTTGGAGTAAAAATAATATGCCCTAAAGCATCCAATCAAATTGTTAATTTAGCTTGAGTGATAAGTTTAATTTTTTTCTCTTCTCTTCTTATTGAATCCTCTTCAGAGAGAAGGTTTTCTTTAATCTGAAAATCTAAAAATAACAGATGTGATATGCAAATTATCGTAACATTATTTTCCTGTTACTGTAGAAAGTTGAATATTTTGTAAGTGTGAGCAAAAGGAGTTCATATAGCTTCCAACTGAAATATGTTTGGCTTTTAAATGATACTTATGTTTGAAGAACATACATTTTAATAAATATGTTTTGGCTGCTTATTATTAATCAGAGTATGTTAAAGTATGTTAGATGAATTAACAAAAAGGATTGAAGGAAATATCTGTAGACCTAAGTAGATAGATAATTTCAATTTTAAAATGTTTTGCATGGACAAGGTAGATTCTTCTTATTCTTGTCCCCTACAAAAGAAGAAAACAAACCCAAAACCAAGAAATTTTATGAATAGTCATTTCTAGATGTTTCCTTGTTTTATTCTTTATAGTTATATGATTTTTATGTTTCCAATTAGAAATTTCCTTTAAGGTGGTTAATATTTTGCCCTGTGAAAAATAAAAAAATATTAGAGAATTAGAATCAAAAGTATCATATACCTAACAATCAGCAATTACATTATAATATAATCTGATTAGTGATCAATTATAGGATTACTGAGGAAAATATATTCTACTTGTATAATTACAGTTGGCAAACATCTTTAAGTTTTATGTCTGATAACCAAAATGTTATTCTTACCTTCCTTATCACTAAATCATTAAGTACTTTAATTTCTTCCTTACAGTAATTTTATTTTCCAGTGTTAGTAAAACTAATACTAGGCAGAGTTTGTATCTGTATCTCTTATGTTGCAAGCCCTGTTCTGAGCGCTTCGTATATCTATTTTACTTAATCTTTCCACAGGCCCTGTGAGGTGGGTGTTGTCATAATCCTCATTTTGCAGGTGGGAAATCTGAGATACAGAGACATGAAGTGATTTTCCCAAGGTTTTATATGGTAAGAGGTAAAGCTAATATTTGAACCTAGGAAAGCTGTCTCTAAATTCCATACTCTTAACTACTACATTCTATTCCCTTTCTGCAGTTTCAAGGGCAGGGTGGGATTAAAGAAGTTAACTTCAAAGCTCTGTCCCATTATGGTTTCTAAATCCTGCAAGCTTAAAATCAGAATCTAAAAAGACGGGTTTATTTCTTGGTTTTTTTAAAGAATAACATTTTTCTGCAGAATATCTTTTCAATCTGGCCTCAAAACAAGAAGATAATATCTGGAGTTGAATTCTGTTGTTTATTTTCTCCTGACCTTATGAAAAAGACTTTAATCTCCAAGACCACCCTAATGACATCCAGACCACCAACAGGATTAACTGGGACTGGGAACTCAGCATACATTTTACTAGATACAGAGAAGCAGGATCCTATCAGCGGCAACAACAATAAACAGATAAGGCTTATGTATCCAGTGCAAAAAAACATATTTAGGATGTCTAAGATTGATTTTCAGAAAATATAGTTACTAAATGATTCATATTAATGAACCTCTAACTACATTAAAAGCTTCCCTTCTGAATCTGGACATTTATGAACATACCAGGCAGCTCCAGAGTGTTTCTCTGATTTTAATTAACTTGAGAAACACAGTCCCTGTTTGCTATCCTCCACACCAAACACTACAGAAAACAAAGTTTTGGAAAAATAAATGCCATTTTACTGAAGCAGTAATTTCTTAATGTGACTTTTCAAAGCAAATTTAATTTTTAATAGGTTCTGAATCCTTTATGTTCAATGTTTACATCTTTGGGGCACTTTAATTTTTGCCCTCTTCTTTGAACTTTTCATTTTGTTCACTAAGATTACATTTTAAACGGCAGTTCTTGACCTCAGTCATGGAAAATACAACGGTTTTATTAGTTAATCTGAAAGGAATTCATTTCTGCTGTGTTTTCATTAGGCACAGACAGAAATTCTAGTGTTTAATGTAACTCCCCAAACTGCAGTTAACAAATGGTTTGTGTAAGAATTGCTATCTTATTTTTTCCGTTGTCATCTTGACATGAAACAGGCCAAGTTTCCCTTTTGAAAACTCTAGATTTTTTTACATCATACCACCCCTCTCTTTTCTATTTTATTTTATTTTTTTCTTTTGAATGTAGAAAACAACAGCACTACACTTTTTTCCAAGAAAAACTGTTTTACGAGAAACAGCTCACTGAGATGTTTCCAGAAAGTTATTGTAGACCTGGAAACTTTACAAATGTTCTTCATGTCCAGCAAAGGCAATAACATCTTTCATCTTTAAAACTTTAACTCTTAAGCAATCCACTTTAATCACTTCAAGGTGGTGAGATCATCTGATGTTACAGAATGAAAGAACTGAGCTACATAATCTTTGGAACGCTGCACCAGTCATCCACAATGGAAACCATGGGGTTTCAGTAGATGGCACTCTTCTCGCTGAGTGACTACTCAAGTTCTGGCATGCAACTCTGTAGGTGTGGGACAGAGACTTTTGTGAGGGCTTTTAGTCTCAACTCTACTCCTAGAAAACTCATATCCAATGGTTCTTGATTTTTTTATAATGAGCCTGTAGATAAGACATCAACCCAAGAATCTGAATTAGTTAGAAGCACATAACCACAGTCTTCCTTTTCCAGAATTGTTCCAGTGGCTTTGTTCTTTTCTCTTACAATACAGAGATGTTTAATTTCAGAATTTAATCAGAATATCTATTTACTTAGAGGCCTTTAGATCATCTGATGTTGAATACTCTAGAGGTGGGGAGGAAATGCAAGGTATCATTAATGAAAAACACAAAATTTTGTACCAATACTTTATTTTCTTGGAATTTATATTTTTACAGAGCTGAAGATAATTTCTGCTTAAATTTTAGATGAGCCTCCTATTTAAAAAGTAGATTTAGCAATTCAAAGTGTGCTTGATCAGTAACAAATCCCCTCTTAAAGCATAATGGAAATTAGTGTAAAAGAAAATAGACTCTCATAACCTGTGATAAGGAACTGATTTCTCTGAGTCCATTTACAGTGGACTTTAATTCTAAAACAATTAAATGCCCACAGTTCATTATCACAGTGTAATTAGCCGAGTAACTAAATATAAGCTCAAACATTAGAACACTTTTAATTAAAATAAAGTTTATCTCCCTGCCCTAATGAAGCAATATTACTTAGTAATAACTTTTTATCCTTTTATCTATTTAATAAGCAGTAACTAAAATATGTCAAAGAGTCTAAAAAATCAGAAACTTGACAAATATTCACAAAAATAGTTATATATTATATGTGGAATAGTTATATATGGAATTTTGAAAATGGTCATAACATTCAAGCCCATTTCCTAAGTCTTTGAATATTGCTACCATGTGTTTGTGTTTGAGTATGTGTGTTTGACAATATTTTATCAGTAATATACCTATTTTCTTAGGAAAGTAGTGTTTAATATTTAAAATTCACACATGTGATATTTTTAAATCTCATTATAAAGTATGGAATCCAGCTGTGTAACATTTATGTTGGCATTGGTTATGCAAATGGTAACTGTCAGGTAGCAAGTCTCTGTGCTTAAAACCTGGCATGTTTATAAACTACAGGAAATATAAAATAGAACATATTTCTCCATTGGTAGAAGAAAATACATGAATTAGATAGAACTTTCACAGATTTGTAAAAAGACCAAAATTCTTTGTGAGGACATGTTTTATGCTCTAGAATATTCATGTGAGTAGACTAGAAGTTAGTGCTTATTGGAGCTGTTCTGCTTCTGGGATTCTCAGGGCATTTATAAGAAATCCATATCCCAGAACTCTATATGACTATTCTCAATGTGCTGTATATTCAACCACCTCCTGTAACCTCCCCAAAACTAATCTACCAGCAATTTTTGGTCTTGTTTTGTAAAACCTCCAGGGAACATAAGATGTTACTATCTCAAAAAAAACTTAAACATCTTTTTTCATGAGAAACAAAAGCAGTAAACTGAACAAAATCCTTTACAACTTCTTTTGAGCATAAAAGCATACAAATGGATCAGCAAAATTTCATAGTTTTTTATTATATTCTGCAGCTAAAGGGAAAATAAAAATAACTTATGTGATATAAAGATCCTGTAGGTATCAAACACTTTTTTCCCCTCTGAAGTGGGATTGAGAAGAAAAATAGTCATAATGATTATAAAAGATTGTAACCACCAGGCAACCACAAATATTTTGTCACTCTTTTGAACTAAACATTAAATGTTTGCAGTCTTTCCAATAAATGAGAACTTTGTGATTTTTTCCCCAGAAATTAGCAGAATTTAAGGATTTTTAAAAAGGTAAAAGTCTTGATTGAGGTGGAGGTGTGGTAGAAGTCATTTGGTATTTTTAGCCAAGGAAGGACTAGGGGTTGTGGCATCTTCTGGGAGAATAGAATGGGGAGGAGAAGAGGAGAGGAACAGAGGAAAGAGGATTGAGAATTCAAGGGAAAGAAAGGGGGAGGAGACAAGAGGAGGGAAGAAAGAAAAGAGATGAAGCCACACAGAGGGCACTAGGGGATGAGGGCGGGGGTGATAGAGGAAGCAGGGAAGGAGGAGGAGAGATGGTCTTGCCTAGGAAGGGGGTGGGGTGATAAGTGAAGGAATGACAAGGGGGAAGAGGTCTAAAGGAGTCAAAGGGGGTGGAGAGATAAGAAGGTGGAGAAAGGAAGGGAGGAGAGGAAAAAGGAGGAGAGGAAATTAAGGGAACAAGGAATATGGATGTTTCTTTTCGTTTGTGGCCATGGTCTGAATATAACTGAAGAAATATCATTGGGTGTTTCCCCCCTACTTACATATACAACCTATAGGACACTAAAGATATCTGACATTAAAAATGAAAAACTGTTTTCAGACACTATGTTTGCAAAAACTATAGGTTTAAATGTAAGCATTTTTTTATTATGTGCACATAGAAATGAATGTGTAATGATTTCTTCTAGCATCTGCAAACTTAGCATTTAAAGACTTATTTCTATGAAAGGTTTAATTCCAATATGTCTGGTATTTTAATGACTCTGAGAAACATATGAATTAAAATAAATATTTTCACACAGTAAGATAATGAACCAAACATGGTTTTGAGGAAATTAGAACATGAGAACCATCATTTGCACTTATTAGAAAATAGAACAAATCAACTTTTTGAAGTCAAAGAGTACTAATATCTTTACCTTGTTTGCAGAAAAGTCAAACATTCCTGTTGAAAATATTTTCATAAATATTCTCTTTGTCAATGTAAATGCAGTTAAAATGTAGAACATGCAGAAAACACTAGGCCCTTAACAATAAATTATTAGAAGATATGTATTAATCAACCATGTAAGTGCTTGAAACTGAATACAAACAGGAACAATGAAACTTTTATATAGTTTGAACCTTTAAAGAACGTTGCAGATATTACCTTGTTGCCATTTTACAGAAATATATTTCAGTGGTTCTAATAATAATGTGTAGTGTTTTCCTTTAGACTATCCTTAATACATGCTATTTTTAAGATGCATTATCTTACTGGGTAAACAATGCTTAATGCTCTATGCTGACAAAGAATCCAGCATACAAAGGAGAGCATAAAGGTATTACAAGAGACCAATAACTTCCAGACTGCTTAGGGAAGCGTTCCACGATGTTAACAATCCAAGAGGGGAACTTTGTAAAGCCATTTAAAAAAGTTTCCAGTACCGTTAACGTGAAAACAAGTTAGTACAAGAACATCGTTATCTTCAACAACCAGAGAACTTTCAAATACAAAACGGACAGTATTCTCTTTAAGCAAATGTAAAAAGCACCACCCTGGTCAGTACTATGTTTCACAGCTGGGAGCTGACAGAGGAAATTAGCTTTTAGGAGACTGGTTCCCCCTTTATACTGGTTTGTAAAGAGAAGTAAAGGCAAAAACCCCATAAAGTTTCTTGAAATCAGTACCTACTCACCTTCCTGTTGTGCCAGAATAACAGTGGGATGAAGCAGAGCGAAAAGTAACCAGATCCCCTTTTGCACAAAGCTCATCATGTCTAAATATCGGACATGAGACTCTTTGTGCAAAAAGGAGAAAAGCAAAGCAGCTCAGAGTAGCACCATCAGTTGTTCCCTGCCCTTCAGCACCGGGCCCGTCATAAAACTCAGCCACTGAGATTCCTGTGCTTTGGCCTTAAATAGGAAAAAGTTTGGCTTCCTTCGCTCTCCAGCCCCTTTCTGAAATATGAGAGCAGCACCCATCCCCTGAGCAGTAAAAGAAATGATTAATATGTCTTTTTCCCTTATGGAAGACACAACACACAACTTAGGAGAAATTGCACATCTGGAGCTTGTGTCTATGTGTGTATGTATAAGTTTGTTTCATATTTTAGTCATACGTGTCTTTGCACAACTTAAGAATGTATATCAAAAAGCTCTGCCTTGAGTTTTAATAAAAGACTTAGATGTGGGTATTTTTTTATCTCCCCTTATTAACAACTGCATCATTTTGAGAAATTTCTTGATGCCCTTTTCTTGGGCATGACTAATTTGCCAACCTGATCTTCCTAGAAGACTTTTATATTGGGATTTTGCCAGAATCCACCCTAACTCAATTTAAATAGGGAACTGTAAAAGATTAGCTGGAAGAAAAGCCTCTGTTTGTCCACCTACTCTGGGTCCTGGAAATTCAGTTTCAGGCAAATATCAAAAGACTAAATATCTAAGATATGTTTGAATGGCACCTTAAAAGTTAGCTACTAATCTATAGCTGTTTCTATTTGTCACAAATTTCTTTAGCCAGCCAAAGAGTAATTCCTTGTGAGAGTGCAAATTTTGTACTGCTTGTAAAAGCTGAAACAGATTTTTCTAGAGAAAAATTTAGCCCTTCATGTCTTGACTTTGTAAGAAACAGAAAGAGAAAGAGCTTATCACATGAAATATCAAAAGAGTACCAAAAGTTCTCATTTTATCTAGATTGGTATAAATATTAGTATAAATATTTCTCAATTTAGACTTTTGTATGTATGATTTCCAGGCCACGTTAACATAGATTTTCAATGTATTTCTGGATATGGGGAGTAATTTCTGGGTCATATTTTAAAGAGGGGCAAATACTATTTATAGGTCTTTGATAAATTTTTGCAAGAAAAATGTGCTTGTCCACAGTACCAAGTTATTTCTGTTAATCACTATATTTCTTTATACCCTAATAATCAGTCCATAGCTCCTTCATTCATCTCTCTATTCTGTATGAGCTATTCAATTCTAATCAAGGTCACATGCATTTATGTTATTTTTTCCATGTCAACTTAGCCATGCCCATCTCCATGCATGTATGCGCATGTAAAATTCTCCCCATCTCACACCAATTCATGGAAGTCACTCCTCTAATACCCAGTTCAAGGCTTTCCTCCGTTAAAACTGTTTTCATCTTCTTCTTTCTCCCAATTCATGTTACACAATTTTTTTACTCAATTTACATGTTATTTGTATAATTGTAGGTGTACATCTATTCTATAAGAGAGGACAGTTGTACACTTGCCTCCCTACAGGCCCAGCTACTAAAAGCACAAAGACGTCCAAATGTAGATGACATCATCTGGTGACAGGAAAAGAAAACTAGTTGGACCAATCTCTTGTACATCTTCTGATTTTAGACCAGAGATACACTACTTGAGGGAAAAAAAGTAACAATTGAACAGTCATGAAAGTAAGCTTTGCTATTGGATCATAGTGGAGTTGTTGGGGGAAAAGACTGATATACATTTTTCTGTCTTTCAATCATCTTCACTTTATATTAAAAAAAAAATCCCCTTGTGTTCAAACCAATTCAGAAACATGATTCATTTTTCTCCTGGTGTCTCTGACACTTGCATAAAATAATTTATATATCTGTATTCATTATCTTATCTTATGTACATGATCAATAAAAGTTGAAATTTATTAAATTTCTTCATTAGAATTGGTTTCCAATGTGGTAAATTAGATACATTAGTTTAAAATAAAGCTTTTTATGCTTTATTTCAGGCATTACATATACAATTTCTATTGTATTTTTGGTTTGTTCTAAAATTCTTAATTTGGTTATCTATTCAAATAAAAGTTTTATACTCATGAGAAAAATTCATGATTGATGTACTCATTTTTAAAAAGTTAGCTGATACTTTGCATAAAAAAATAATTGTTGTGTTTTAAGGTATCCATGAGAGATCCAGAGATAAATATCATACTCCAGATTTTCTGATTTGGCATTCTTCACTACCGCAAGCATATCTGGAGGTCCTGCACCAGGATCCTTTGTATTCTATGTCCCAGATCTTATTTTCCTCTTCATGTCAAAATGTCTTCTAATAAGGTGTCTAGATGGATGTGGATCTCAGCTGGTATCACAACTGGACAAAATACAGACAGTGTTGAATTCTATTATGCAGTCCAAGGGCTGATGTCCTTGTAGTAATCTAGACACACATTGATTTCTATACATCCCTGACTTCCCTGATATTAACCAGTTCACAGAGACATGTCATTTTGCTGTCTGGATCACATTTAGAGTTTTAACACAAATCTAAACACCTGCACCAACTAAAGCACTGATTAATCTGGTTCTCCTTTAACAAAGAGGGTAACTGAAAAGATGAGGCAAAGCAAGGGTGTGGCAGATTATCAAACAAAAATTCAAATCTTTTCCAGTTCAGTGGAAAATGGAGCTTGGGAGAGATGCATAAGCACAGCTGTGATGAATTCAGTAAGCCAGTGAATGTCAGCAGTGCTTTCTACAATAGCGATAAGAAAATCAATTATCTCCATCACGAAAAACACATGGAAGAGAAGTCCCTCCCTCTCTTTCTCTGTCTCTCTCTCTCTCATACTGCTTCATATATAACTTTCTTCTTTAAGCAAAGGAGGTGCATTTTTTAATGGACATTTTCTATATGCTTTCAAATCGCTGTAAAACCATTTAAAATGTATCTGTGGTAGGATTCACTTAAAAATATACTGAATCCATAGCAGAATTGCAGCCTAAAATAGGATAATTTACAATGGTAAAATACAATGCAAGTTTTCTTTGCTATTCCTAGAGAGGTGGGTCAGTTCACTTTATGTGGTGAAAACATGTTTGGAGAGATGTGTTCCCTTTAAAATAATGTAAACAAATACCAATATGTGTGTAGTAGAGCCAAAATGTGGTTGCAAATGTCATGTTGTATTGAATGACTGGGGCACTTCTAACCACAGGTATATCTAAGATTGAGGCAGTGAGATTGGTAGTGGGACATGACAGGCAAATTTCTGAATGATTACTATGATCAGTTCTTTAAGACCCTGTAATTTCCTCTTATTCCCTAAAGTAGAGTTAATTGTCCCCTTATTTTTGTTCCTATAGAACTATATTGATAACCACTTCTCTTTAACCTAGAAATTTTACTTTTGGACAGGACTCACATTTCCTTGATGTTTAGTAAAATGAAGTGTGCTACACGTACTCATTTTGGAAACACTAAGTATCTCTATTCTTATCTATTTTTTATATCGTTTGCTGTTAAGCCTGAGGTTCTGCATTTCTCTCCTGGTATTTTTCAGCTGAAAATTACCCCAAGATTGAACAGAAAGTTCAATGAGGTTACATGACCTCAAAATTACTCATTGGAATTAAATAGCATGCTTTCCAACTTTTTTTCACCATGTTTTCCACTTGAGTTAGTCACTGATGTGGTAACAATATTTTTATGCAATTTAGGAATTGGGTGAATACATTTCTTTTTCTAATGAGGGATTGTAAAAAGATGGAGAAAGAATACAGTTGTAGAGTCAATGACCAATTTAAAAAGAAATATTCTGATTTTAGATCATCATTTAATTTCCAGTGTTGCTGTAATTTTAGAAGTTTTGAGTAAATCCTCATTAATTTATACTGAATGATGGAGTTCAATCTTAGGGCATGCAAGAGAATTCACATCTGTGCTTGTGTGTCTATATGTGTGTCTGTGTATATGCTTATATATATGCAAATATATTTTTAATATATTCACATATACTTTTAAAGATTGACTAAAATTTAAGCAAGTAAAATTTCCTGGAAACTGCTTTTAAAAAAATAATTGATTAATTAATTTATTTTTGGCTGTGTTGGATCTTCATTGCTGTGCGCGGGCTTTCTCTAGTTGCGGTGAGCAGGGACTCCTGGTTGCAGTGGCTTCTCTTGCTGCGGAGCACGGGCCCTAGGCACACAGGCTTCAGTAGTTGTGGCTCACGGTCTCTAGAGCGCAGGCTCGGTAGTGGTGGCGCATAGGCTTAGTTGCTCCGTGGCATGTGGCACCAGGGACAGAACCAGGGACCGGACCAGGGATGGAACCTGTGTCCCCCTCACTGGCAGGTGGATTCTTAACCACTACGCCACCAGGGAAGTTCCCTGGAAACTGCTTTAATGTACATGTTTGAATTGTGAAAATTTATGAAGTATTATGATTATGTCCTCCTGGAATGAAGTCTTTATATACTTATGTTTCAATGATATTTATTTGCCATCATAATTATTGTAATTATATTTGAAAATTCACAGAAAATTGGAATCTATCTCATTACCTAACATACTGACTCATTTCAGAACAGTGTGATTACTTTATAAATTTTGTCACAAAGGTGACACAGAGTCTGGGAGTAACATCTTGTAGGAGTTCAGAAGTTCCCTGTTGGGTCTTCAGTTAACTTAATCATTCTCAGGATTGAAGCTCTACTCTGCAAATCCCACCAGACTCTCTATCAAATATAATTTGTCATCTGAGTCATACTTAGGAATTTTCAGCAGTATCCAACACAGCTGCAATAGCTTTTCAAATGAAGCCAATTCTGTCTGAAGATAAAAAGAAAGCCCAAATTACGATCTTCTGATAGAAGCATGAGATAGGCCAAAGCCAAATTTATTGGATTTACATGCTTCAAATGGAGAGTGATTTTAATTCCTCTCAATATTTTTATATTCAGATATTCCATGGGGGGCCATATTTAGGGTCTCTTAATCCAAATAATTCTTTAGGACAAAGAAATTTAGAGCCACCTGCTTCTCTCTCACCAAATAAATGGAGGTAAACGTGACCTTTCCAGGTATAACTTATTATGACTGTTACTCTGTACAACTAACCCCTCTTCAGGTCAGCATCACTGCTCATGT